TTGCAGCTAATATTATATAATACATGTACATAGAACAACTCATCAATTAACGTTCTGTCAACGAAAAATGAATACTACAAAAAACAACAAACAACAAAATAACACACACACAACATTCCAGAACAAAACAAATAGCATTACTAATAACTTAGTATCAAGTTTCTGGTTCAAATGAGCATTATAATAACATATTGTAACAACCTCTCGTATTTTTTGTCATTTATTAGGGAGAACAGGATCTTGTACTATGATATGTATTAGAGACAATAAACAATGAAATATGGCCATCGCCTGACCTCTCCCAATTTCAGCATTATTCTGATGATATCTATGCCTAGAAGTGCTGTCCACATTTTTGTTCGAATGAGTTGGAACAGAACATGTAACATGACTGTACGGGTCCCCTGGAGGCGGTGTGACTGTATTAGAATTATGTTTGAAGGTGATCATTTAAGCTAATACTGCTCTCTATGCTTGAAAAAACAAAAATTAATTATAACACTGGAAAAAATAATGAATGTTCATTTACATGCCATTTTCATACTTAAAGAAAAACACTGGGTACAATGTTTTAGAAAGAAAAACATACATGTATAAGATCTTACAAACTGTTTAGTTATTAGTTTTCTAGATATAGTTTTGATGATAAAATACGACAGGGTATGCTTTGAATTTTTAAATCGTTTTGTTAGAGGGAGTCACCCAGGTGGAAGTTAGAGGAAGTTCACTTTTTTTCACGTTTAACCTGCATGTGCCTGAATTAAATTAGAAGTGTCAGCATGTGCTTTGAAATAATTGTGGCATCTTAATTTTTGTAAGAAATCAATTATCCTATCAGATTGATGGGTGAAGTTCAGCCGCACATAAGTCTTGCCTGAGATTAAACTGTCGATAATGTACTTTATTTTTGATTTAAAAGGCTCCTCATACTTCTTTTACATTAAATAAATTAAACGGTTTATCAAATTCAAAGCAAGAAAAATCAAGTAATGACATTCAGAAGTGGGGTACGGGCTAATTAATTAACAAAAAGTCAGTTGTGATGAAATATTGTTTAAAGTATATTGGGATTTATCAAAGAGGAGTTTATGTCCTAACAAACACATTCCACTGTGCCATGTTTAGCAAATCAACAAAGATTGGCATTCTTCTACAAGTTTTTATGTCAAACTAAAGACACTGGTAAGGAGTTGTAAAAATTGCCCAGATTGATTTTCTGTAAAAATGTGATTGATTAAGTAGATTAGATGTGATTGTAAGGTAGTTTTTGATTGCCATTCTTCAATGTTTGATCTTGCTGAAGTATGATTGATCTAGGATGAACACCAGGAGTTTGTTTTTCTAAAATTACCTGCTCACAGTGTTGCTCAAAGTTGTGTTGCCTGTTATATCATGTTGTTTGTTATATTGTGTTGCCTGTTGTATTGTGTTGCCTGTTGTATTCTGTTGTTGTCTGTCAGTGTGGTTTCAGTCAGACCTCCTCAGATATACTGTCACTTTTGTGGGCAAATGTCGATAAATGGACAAATAAGAAAACATTCAGGTGAAAGTAGAATTACAAAATAAAATTAAATAAATGACCCTCCTAAAACAGATTCGAAAATGAAAATTATGAAATCCAAAATGAAATAATGAACACAGGAAATGAAATAATGAATTCCAAAATGAAATAATTGGCTAACAAATAAAATATGGGACACATAAATGAAACAATGGACTGAAAAATGAAAATAATTCTGGATCAGAAATCATTTATAGGACTCAGAAATGAAAAAATGGACTCGTCAACGAAAGAAAGGGCACAATCATATATAGGACTCAGAAATGAAATAATGGACTCATCAATGAAATAAAGGGCTCAGAAATAAAATAAAGGACTCAGAAATAAAATAATGGACTCAGAAATCAAATAATGGACTCAGAAATGAAAAAATGGACTCAGATCAGAAATGAAATGATTTAAAAAAAAATCACAAAAAAACGGTAATAAAAATTTTGATTGCTATAGGTATTTCAATACAACATGTATTTTGATTGACAAGTTGTTTTTTTTTTAATAAAAAATTTCCTGTATTGTATGATTGTAATCAAATTTGATCACACTTAAAGATAGTTTAAGTTGACAGGCTTGTTTGTTTAATGAAAAAAAAGTTATTATCACAACTTCCTTGTGAAATGAATATAAAAAACAAAACTTATTGTTTATTATCCAACTTCCTTGAATATAGAAAATTCCTTCCTATACCTTGTAAACATGTTTATAATGTCATAAACTATGATTAATGTTTGATAAACATGGAGTTAGAAGGGAGAAAACAGCAGTAAACATGTCATTTTAAACATGATATATTTTGGCTATAGACAGCAGAGGTCATTCTGTAATATTTTAAACATTTAGTAAATTGTGCATACAAGGAAACACCCATAAACTATATATCCTCTTTACCAAGTAAAACTATTACATGATTTGGAAAAAATATTACATGTATAATGAGGGATTATTTTTTTATTCAGTTGTTAAAATCTGATCTTATGTTTTGGAGGTAATCTTTAAGTTCCTAGTTCCTTCAAACTGTGAAATATATCCACTTTACAAAGTAAAGCTAAAACATGATTTGGAAAAAATATTATATTGAGGGAATGATTTCTCCTAAATTGTAAAAATCGGATATTATGATTTGAAGGTTATTTTATATAGTTCCTGTGAAATCACTTTCCAACAACATTTTTTTTTTTTTCTCCCTCATAATATTTACAGTAAAGATATTAAGGCCAAATTTTGTTAGATTGGTTTCTTATTTTTTCTTATGAAATTGTGAAAGGTAAATACAGGAGCTAAGTATAGAAACCTTAAGTAAACATGCTTTTATGTTAAAATTGAAATTGAACTTTTACCTTTATTTCAGTTAAATTGAAACTCTCTTGGAATGCTTTATTGATAACAGATTTAAATTTTTTTTATATTTATTTAATATATATATTTTTGGTTTGGTTGGGTTTAACATATCGCCAACACAGTAGTAATCATAATTATGGCCACATTCCAGCTGAACTGGTGGAGGAAGACCTCAGATGGCCATCTGTGCATTATTTCAGGCACAAATAGCCACCTGAGTAGAACCACCGGCGTTCTGTAAACTATCTAGATCATCTAAGCTTCCTCACATGAAAGAATCCAAACTCCTTGGTGTGATTCGAAACCCACAGCGTTGAGGGGCAAGTGGATTAAACAGATAGTATGAAATATGCCTGAATTTCCTGTAGACAGATATTACCATTATATATTTACAGATTATGAGCTGGAGTCCATTAAAGCATTGTTCAATGAAAAAGAGAAAGAGTTGGCGATGGCTGTGGCCAAGGTGGAGGAAATGACCCGGCAACTGGAGGAGATTCGTAGCGGCAGGGTCAAGGCCAGTACCAACACTCAGAGTCCTGCGGCCCTTGCTGAACTGGAAAAACTGAAAAAAGAACTGATGGTATGTACCTTATCATAATCACACTTCAAAGTCTTAATTTAACTGTTCAGTCTATAATTATTATATATTAAAGGAACTCCAAGAAGGTCAAAAAGCTTGAAAACATAAAATTTGAATTTCTTACATAGATCATTTGGGGCAGTCAAAATAGAAAGATATGTCAAAGGATAATTAAGAAATATAAAGATTTAAAAGATGTAAAGATCAACACATTACCATCAGCTAGTCCCTGCTGAACTTGAAAACACTTCAAAATGAATAGTTGGAAGGTTCTAAATTTTTGAGCAAAGGCTACAATGTAGCTTTTTACCTAGAGCAGTAATTTAAAAAAAAAATATCATCTTCAGTGATACATTGTTGTTCTGTGAATTTAGTATTATCAATGTGTGATGTTATTTTCTTGATGAAATGTGGATGTTAAAACATGTTTGTATACTTCTAGTATGTATATATTCCTATGGGAAATCATAGAAATGTTACAGAAGTTTGAGTATTTCTCTGATATTTTGTGCTCAATAACAAAAAACGTCTTCATAGTTATCACACACAGCTGTCAGCAATTTGTTAGAACATACATGAGTATGATTACTGTTATATAAACCTAGAAGTCAATGTTCTGTTTTATACATCATGAAAATCAATATGAACTTCAACAATTAGCTATCACCAAAGCTAAATATAACATGATACATTGGGTTCATAACATGCTAGTCAAGGGATGACGTGTGTGTGTCATATTTCATAACAGTTTTCATGGTAATTAATATCGTACATGGTGAATGATCATTCCTTCCATGTTATTTTGCCATTTATACATCATATTAATCATTCCATTTAGTGCAGCATTATATAAATCACAATTTTTTTCCCCCAATAATCAAAACATTATATTCATATTATTCAGTGCATGATTGAAATATGGTGCACACAAGTACAAATACATATCAATAGCTTGTTTAAACGAAATAAATTTGAATCGTTTTCAGATACGTAACAAGTTGAATGAAAATCAGAGTAATAAGATGGCCTCGAATCGTGAACTGCTGGCAAAAAGAAAAGATGAATTGGCTCGGATGGACAATAGAATTCATGAGTTACAGATGAGATTGAAGAAGAAACGGTCTACAAATGCTGAAATGGCCGAACAGAATAAAAACCACATGAATAAGACAAATCTTAACAATAAAGTTATTAATAGACCTCCCCCAAACATTGCAGCTATCGAACCTTTTGTGCAAGAGCCGCCTAACAATACAGGGGGATTTGGGAAAAAGGATCCCAAATACCAGTCCCTGCCTCCAAGTTCAAAGTTCATGTACCCGGAGAAAGGGAACCGACAAAGGGAAACAAACAATAATAATGTAAATTATAATTCTAATAATTCTAAGCAGTACGATCCTGATAAATCTGAGGAATATACTATACCATTGGTCGTTTCTGTAGACAGCAACAACAAACCTATGCAAAATGGCCTTCCTTCTCCGAAACAAAGTCCAGTGGGTGAGCCTCAGCCTAATCAAGGATACCAAGCTTACCCAACCCCTAGCTCTTTACAAATCCCTCAATCAATACCCAGTAGCCTGGCACCTCAAAATATTCGTTTTGGAAGTGGTATTCCAGCTAGGTCAGGGGTATCACACTTTACACCTAAACCTTATGGAAGCACTTATAGTTCATCAATTTTACCAAACAGAGGGATAAGTACGGTACCCAATGAACAAAACAACTATGATCTCCAAGATGAGATTAGGCAGTCTGGTAGTGGTCAAAGTTCACCAGGTTCAGTTGAGAGCGCAAATAGTGCAAATTCAAAACTGTTACCACCATATCATCAACGTGAAGGGCCTCTTCCTCCAAGTAAGCCACAGGTAGTACCAACTAACTCCAAAGGACATCCACAAGATGTCCAGCTTGCTAATAAAGGTCCTCAGAAGGAGAATTTATCACAAAATAAAACACCACCACCTCCAGTTCCAAATAGATCCGGAAACCGACCAGAAAATACGCAAGCTAATACAGGTCAAGTTCCAAGTGTTTCAAGATCACAGCATAGTTCAAGTGCCTCACCTGAAAATTTAAGTGACTCAGAACAAACGAATATGTCTGTTTCTAAGGGTATACAAAAATTTACGGGACTTATAGCTCAGACTTCACAAGATGGGTCTAAAACCCAAGGTGCTAATATCAACTCAGGGGGATTTTCCAATCTCAACCATGCCTCAGCACTTGGCGCAGTTACAGGGAGATCTGTGCCAACATACAGATATGCATCTAAAAGTGTGATAGCAAACACATATCTCGGCAGGTTAGACAATGAAGCCTTACAAAAATATCAGAAAAATGTGCTGAGTTTACATAGAGATTTAAGTGCAAGTAGTAGTGTGGATGAAGTTAGTCCAACTCAGAAAACTGTATCAAATAATTTAAATGATAAATTAAAAGACGAAGAGAAAGATTCTCTATCACCGTTATCGAGTGTTAGCTCGCCAGCAGGATCGACTCCGTCACCTGCTAGTCCGTCACGACCTCCTAACTATCCTTTCGATTTTCCCGCAACTCCACCTCATGCAGACGTTGCATCAGATAAAGTTAGCTATAAGCCAAACACCCCTAAAAACATTCGTAGAAGACATTCTGATAGTGACAATGAGGAGGTTGGTAAAGCATTACATAAATACGGAATTAATACAAATGCAAATAAAAATCCACCTGCACAAGAAAACCAACTTATATTGTTGGAGAACAAACAAGGACCTGTTGAAATTCAGGCAACGACTTTTAGTGATCATATTCCTGAAACAGTGCTCTTAGACAATAAAGGAAATATTGTAGAAGTTATTGATAATGTTAAAGATACAAATAAAACTAAAACAGAAGATAGTGCTAATAATGTTAAATCTTCACCAGTGACAATAGAAGTTAAATCAAATGAACCAAAGGTGAAGAAAAAGACAAATTTGAAAAATAGTAATTCTAAGAAGAATGCAAATCGTGTAAGTTTCGACCCATTAGCCTTGCTGCTAGATGCATCACTAGAAGGAGAATTAGACCTTGTCCGGAGATGTGCTGTGCAGGTTAGTATTCTTTCATCATTAATTCATAAAGGCCCATTATGCCCCATATATGCTAATATTTTTATTTCTCAAAAGCTTTTTAGTTTTGGTGCCAAATTAAAAATTTCCAAAAAGTTATTGATTGCCCAATTCCCTGAACCATGTTTTGCTTCTGTTGCTTTTTGGCTTAGTATTAACATTGTTACAGTAATTAAGTTTTTTGTATGGAAGTCAAAATACTACTTTGATTTACATTTTGCCACTTTCAATACAAATTAGTTCACATTCAGTACAAGGTAAAAAGCATCTAACATGTCTAAAATCATTATTTAAACATTATGAAAATTCATGCTTGCCCTTTCTAATGAAGGAAAAATTCAATCGTTTCTAAGGCATAACCTGCCTTTAAAGTAAACTTGGGGAATTATAGACACCACTCTTTTTTTCTTTCATGACAAATGTTTCTAGTACAAAATGATACTTAAATTTGATATACCACAAAATTTGATATACCACAATGCAAAAAATATTTCATGGAAAGTAAGAACTGTTCAAATGAATCTGTTACACGATATATGAACATTAGATTTGTTTTCCTAATATATTGTTATGACATTCTGTACAATAGTTCCATTATGGTGTACAATTTCACAAAATGTGCAGAGTTTTATTTACATGGAACAAAAAAAAAAGGGTGAAAAACCAGTGATATTTAAATGCACTGTATTTAATGATGAAGGTTTATAATTGATTCTTTTTATTCAGTGGGTATACAGTGGGTATAGATTTGAATGTACTGCAACATCTTTTAAAAGTAAGATTCAATGTAGATCTATATAATATAGTAACTCCTATTATATAATATAACCCGTTACTGCACTAAGGTGACAATACACTGATTAAATGGTGCCAAAAAAGCAAAAATGAAATCAACCCCAAAATTCAGATACAAATTTGCAATCAAGACTTTTATCAATTGATAAGTAAAAGAAATTTATAATAAACTACTGTACTCAAATCAGTTTGAATTTTCCATTTTTGATGTTGACTTTTTTAGAAATTTTATATTGATCTTTTTGCTTGTGTCTAATCTAGATTATAATTGGTATTAATCTTACTCTGATCAGTGTGATACACTAATATATCAGTGAGATATTTTCAATATCACACCCTGTACTGTACATAACTCATTATTAGAAATTAATATTTTCAATAAGCTTATCATAAGTTATTACTGTATTTTTTTCCATTGTTTTTACAGGTATAAATGTACATGTTTATTGAAAAAGTAAATATAAAAATATTAAAATTCGTTTTATTTCTCTTGTATAAAATATAGCTGTATTCAAAACAAACTGATGTTTTTCTGTATATATCAGGTTGACAATGTGAGTGCTTCAAACGATGAGGGTATCACAGCTCTACACAATGCCATCTGTGCAGGACATTATGAAATTGTGACATTCCTAGTAGAGTTTGGATGTGACGTCAATTCACCAGATAGTGATGGATGGTTAGTACAAGTTTTAACATGTTTAAATATTTTGTTATGTTATGGAAAGCCTTTTTTGATAACAATAGGTGTCAATTATCTTCAAGAGGTGTAAATCTATAAAACCCATAATAAAGCATCAGCAGAGTTGGTATCATCTGTATAGTGATAATTGGCATCTGACCTCTAACCTGTTGAATTTCTTAAATGGACTTTTCCGACTTGCAGGTTTGGAACTGGTCATTATCAATTTTGGGGATATCAGTATGAAAATTATGGTTAAGTTGGTCAGTAGTGTTAACTTGGACAAATTGTGCGGATGTACTGGCTGGTCTGGCTCTATACTAGTGGCCAAGACTAATCATGATAGGCTTCAGTAGGGAAGGACGCTCTTATATAAAATGGCGGCAATACTGCAAAATTATTATTATTCATGGGGAACTAATTTTCGTGGCCGTGGATAGGTTTGTCCATGAATTTAAAATCCAGTGAAATTTCATTTCATCTGCTGTAAGATTATTTTGCATCACATTTACATTTTACCTTTTGGAAAAATAAACAGTCCATGAATTTAAGAGCTGACAGAAATGTTTTTTTTGTAACAAAACCACGAAATTTCATGCCCAAGCATTAAATGAATTCACAGTAATTGATTGTTTTATTGTAACAGGACACCACTTCATTGTGCTGCCTCGTGTAACAATCTGCCGATGGTAAAGTTCCTGGTGGAACATGGTGCATGTATATTTGCGACAACGATCAGCGACCATGAGACTGCCGCTGAGAAATGCGAGGAAGACGAGGACGGCTATGACGGTTGTTCTGAATATTTATACAGTAAGTATCATGTTGGTGGCTTAATGTGAATTCTGGTCTTATGTCATATATATTGTAAGAATATAACAACAACAACAACAAATGAGCCACGACATGACAAAACAAACATAGTGGGTTTGCGACCAGCATGGATCCAGACCAGCCTGCTCAGTCTGATCAGGATCCATGCTGTTCACTATCAGTTTCTCTACTTGTAATAGAGTTTGTAAGCGAACAGCATGGATCCTGCTCAGACTGCGCAGGTTGGTCTGGATCCATGCTGGTCGCAAACACATTACTTTGGTTTTGTCGTGACGCGGCTCAAATTATTTTTTTTGCTATACCTCCAGCCCATGCATATAAGAATTACAATTGTTTCATCCAAAATTCAGGTTGTCTTGTTTGTCAAACCTACTCATAGCATAGTTGTAACATAATACACCAGTTTATGGTTGGGTGTAATATATATTTCCACATTTCATATTGATGACTTTTCAAGCAGTTTAACTTGTATTTTTAAGAAGAATCATTACACACTCTATATGAATCCAGTGAGGGAAGATTTAATGTGAAAATGCTGATTTTTGAAAAAAATATATATTCTGAAAATATTTTCCGATCTTATGAATAATTGGCCATCCTTTAGCTAGCCTATCTTCATTACCAGGCCTTACCTTTCCATACCCAGCAAGTGCTACATTTATATTATACTTTGTAAATATTCAAATCTCTATCTTATGAACAAAATTGGTTTGTCATTAATGTATACTGATACATGCATTTGCAACTGGATTTATATGTCATAATATATAGATAGGTTTGATTTATTGCTTCAGAAAGATTTCAATATTAAAATCTGTCTAAATTTTCTCTCTAGAAATTTATTTATATTTGAAATATCAAATGTATCATTTTCATGCTACCTGTTCACATTTGACTTTAATTATTCTTTACTGTTGACAATTACTTATTTCTGTTGCCTTTCCTTTTGAGTTTCTCATGAAATGTATATATTATTACAAATGTATATAATTTGAACTTGGAATGTTAAATGAAATAACGGCCACAGAATCATGATATTACCGGTATTACAGTATAATTCAATGACAATTTCTTGGAAATATTGGCATTAAATCAAAAGTTACTCTGTTTATATGCCCCTTTGATGTTGGAATGTAAACATAAAAGCTACATCTTGCTCATAGAAACAATATATTGTTGGTATATACAGTACATGATTTATTTTTTTCAAGTTTTTTAAACTTTTTTTTTTGGACATTTGTTGTTGTATAAAAGCATATCATTTAGGATAATTGACTTGTTCTGGCAGATGGAAAATTGGCAGTTATAGTAAAGCTTGCTATACTTGGTCATTCTTTGAACTTTCAGTTGTCATTCAAGATTCAATTACAATACAATATAAATAATTATCATATATATTATTAATGTGTACAACAAACATAGTTGAAAAATGTCCCTTCCCCTTTCAAAAATCCATCTGTTGAATTGTAATTTTCAGTACATGTAATTTAAAAATAGATCAGGAAAGAGTTTATGTTGGTACTAAAGGTGAATCAAGTTGACAAAGATCTATAAAGATTTAGATTTTATATTGGTTTGTTGATAATTACAAAAAAATAAAACAACAAAAAACAACAACAACAAACATCAACAGAAAAGGATCTATTCAGTTGTAGTGATTTTGTAAACCTGCCACATTTAATATACAATATAAACTCTGGAATTGCTTTTATTCTGGAGCCTTTACAAAACTTGGCGTATACTTTTTATCAGTTGCCATTTTACAATCAAGGCAGTAAAAGGGTGTCATCACTAACTATTATCCAAGAACATTTTCAATACTATCCCTGTCCTTACATTTAGAAAATAAAAACATTCTTTTTATCTAACAGGCATTCAAGAAAAACTTGGCATTATGAACAACGGTGCTGTGTACGCAGTGTTTGACTACGCAAAAGAGAATACGGATGAACTTGACCTGAATATTGGAGAAAAATTTACAATTTTGAAGAAAGGGGATGAGTGTGAAAAGGAATGGTGGTGGGCGAGAAACGATGAGAAGCAAACTCAAGGATACATACCGAGAAACCTCTTAGGGGTAATTATTTCATTATTGTCAGTACTCGAGTTGTAGGCAACTTCTTGGGCATAAGTTTTTCCCTTTTGTACCAGTTATAAGTGATAAATTCAGATTTGGTTTTTGTAACTCTAAAAGTGAATAAAGCTATATATCTGCTACTGTTTACATTTTGAAAATAAAATGTATGAAAGTATAAAAGAATATGCTTGTATATTACCTTACGAGTGAATGGAGACATTTGTGCGGTTTACTATACTCTTATACAGTTAGCTTTATTTCACTTTCTTTGGTACTGAAATCACTTAAATTCCAACCAAACTCAGCATTTTTGTTGTTAAAGGGAGATAAATCTTGGTTGAAAAACCTGAAAAACCAAGGTTTTTTGCACCAGTTATGCTACATTTTTTTATTTCATCATTTTACTCTATTTTTCACCCTTTTGTACATTAAGACTAATGAATTAGATGAAAGAAAAAGAAATTTAAAGTGTTAGTAAATCAAGTAGCTATTGTACTCATCCAGGAAGTTAACCCCCGCAAGGAGTTTGTTGAAATACATCATTTGTGGATAAAGGGAAGTAACCCTTGTAGGGAGTTTGTTGAAATACATCATTTGCAGATAAAGGGATAAATATCTGTATGATAATATTTTATATGCTCCCTTTCTCCATTTCAGCTTACAGCCAGAGTTATTCCAAGAGTCCAGCCAAATGGTGATGTGTAATTGAATGCTGTACTGGAATACATATCAAATTCCTTGTGATAGAAAGAGATAAATCTAATTTACAGACAATAGAAGAAAACAAATTTATCTAGAACTTTATTCTTCTAATGCATTGGTTTCTTTCGAGGGAATGAGATTTTTATTTGATATATATTATTTTTTACTCTCTGTGCTGTCAAATTTTAAAATTGACTTTACAGTAACAAATTTTTTTCTTCTTTTACATGTATATTTCAAATGGAATAAATCATATTTAACTTTTTTTGTCTTGCATGTTTTTATAGATATTTCATGTATTTTACTAATTTTACATCAATTAATAAATAGTCGCGTCATGACAAAACTAACATAGTGTATTTGCGACCAGCATGGATCCAGACCAGCCTGCGCATCTGTGCAGTCTGATCAGGATCCATGCTGTTCGCTTACAAACCCTATAAAAAGTAGAGAAACTGGATCCATGCTGGTCACAAACGCATAATGTTGGTTTTGTCGTGACGCGGCTCAAATGTAGTATAATGAAGGGTGTACACTTTTTCAAATTAAAAACAAGTTTACATATAAACTATAAAGTAATGTTAAACTGAATTGAATTTCAAGTACCAGAAAGTTGAAGTCTCTTTAAAATTTAAACGAAGAACTATTTTCAGGGGAAAAAAAAGAAAACACTGAAAATAAAATGTTTGTATATACTTTTACATATATTCATGTATTAGGAAAATAAAATAAAATGCCAGATACTCTATCTGATATATTTTTTTATATAACTAACACTCCACCTAATTAGAATATTTGTTGATGCAATTTTTGCTATGATTAAATTTTTTTCGGAACTATGAATTTAGATAGTATTTCACCTGTGAAGTATTTGTTTGTCACTGGATATTGTCAAGGTGATATTGTAGACAACACAGAGTTGAAAATAATGTTGCAAATTTTGATCTCCTAGTAATTTTATATAAATCTTCTTTTTTGCTAACAATATATACCAAAAATTACTTTTCATTTGATAGTTTGAAAGGAAGTAATTTACAAATATGAAAAAGAATTTTTTTTTTATATCTCCTGTTAGGGGAGAAGTAGCCTAGTGGTTAAAGTGCCTACCTGTCAACATAGAGATGGTAGGATTAAGCCCCAACTGACGTTACATCCAGGTTTTCCTCACATGACACCAGTACTGGTTAGTCCCAAGAAACAAATGAGTTCTGATTTAGTACTAGGAAACAGATTCCAGAGTTGTTCAAATAGCAATGAGCTTTCTTATAAAATGAAAGTTAATAATGATTATTTAATAAGTAATTTATTATTTATAGTAATCACCGCAAGTGACATTATTTCACAAACATGACTTAATTAAGTCTTTTACATCATCATTTTGTGTTATTTCTGGTGTTGTTGTTTTTTTCAAAGTTATAAATATACTTTACCATTCCTTTGTTAACTTATGATGATCCTAGTATATTAAGATTAATTTTTGACACTGTAGGATTTTTATTATCTCCCCTTTTTCTGCCATTTTCTCTTTTGAATACAATTTATTTCAATTAAAACACATATTTATATGAACTTAATTGACTATACTTTTTAAAATTAGATTTTATTTCAACACTGTGTTGAACTTTTTGTTTATTATGCAAGTTGTTTTAATGTTTTTCTTTCTCTTTTTTAGTATTTGAGTTTTCTAAAAACATAATTGTTTTAATTATCTTTATTTATTTTGAATACAAGATAATTGTAACTCCAAGAAAGCAGTTTACAGATATTCTGTTTTTATAACTGTGTCTGAACCAAAATAAAGAGCTTGATTTTAAAAAAACCTGCACTCTTGTCCGATATATATAATGTACCAACGTCTTTATTTCTCGAGAGATATCAAATAAAATATTACAATTATATACTGGTAAAGTATCAACCAAAATCATATATTCCTCTTATTTTTATCTCTTCAAATTGTGTAGAATTAAAGAATTTAGAGGTAGAATGTTTATACTATTGTGCTACAAGATAGCTGTGCAATACAGTGATGTGTACATAATTCTGTACAGTGTAATTAATAATATGAAACAAGTAAATTAAAAAACCTTTAGTCTTATTTGTCTTTCATTTTACTTATTTTATATATATATATATTTCATTGGATTTCACGTCGCACCAACATAATATATAGGTTATATGGCAACTTTCCAGATTTATTGGTGGAGGAAGACCTCGGGTGCCCCTTAAGATTATTTCAGGCATAAAGGGGCACCAAAGTAGAACCACCAAGGTTTTGACAGCGAGCTGGAAAGCTTTCTCACAGGAAAATTTAGAGATGCTGACATGGCTCAAACCTACAGGTCACAGACAAGTGGTTTGAAGTATACGACCTTAACCATTACCTAATGAGAATATAAAAGTGGATATAGTTTGACATCTGCAACTCTCACTACTTGAATAATATGCTTGTTGGTGGCTACAGGTTCTACCCATGTGACCAGTGCAGTCCAAAACTAGCTGGCACCTCGTTACTGTCTGAATATGGTCTACACTGTGCCCTATCCAGTAAGCACATATTTTGAAATTTTCCCTTATAATGATGAATGGTTACATACAGATAGAAAGACCATTCAGCCTGGTAAAGGTCAAGAGGCCTGCATATGAACAACCGAACAAGATATGTCTTCTCTTGTTTTGCTATGGTAACAGAGAACTACTTAATCTGCTTATTAGTTATGAAATGGGAGACAACTCTGATGCTTACTTGTATTCATTAATATGAGTTACTGGCCCTTACTAGGATTACACTACATATGCTTTTCTAGGAATAAAAATCAAAGCAATTTATAAATTGTTTAAATCTTATAACACCAAATCAATTATTTCTCAATAAAATATTAAAAGACACTTGAAAATGGGAAAGAATGTTGTATATTTTATACATTTACCTAGATTTGATACAAAATTTTCATAGAGAAGATTAATGTGTTCTCCCTAAAAGCTAAACCAATACTGGCACAGTTATCTTGAAATAAATCTCAGTAGCTTACACATGGTTCTGAAATACACCTGTAGTTTTCAAAATTCTCTTAATAAGAAAAAAAAAACAACAACAACAAATGGAGGACTTAATTTATACTAAAAAAAGTAACCTAGTCATTCTATTGGTTGTTGAAAACTTTGCAGACCTGTTACAACTGGAAATTTCCTCTAAATTCCCACTTAAGAGATACGCTTTTCTTAGTGTGATAATGTGATTTGGATGCTACCAGTTACAGGCTGTTTATGGGCATTTTATGTAATTGATGTCAAACAGCAAAATAATTAATATCAGTATGAGTGACATTTAGTTTCCAACAAATAACGGTTAATTGCTGTTTATGAATCGCTTGATAAACCATGAAAATTCTTTAAACGTTTTCAAACAGCAAAATAATTAATATCAGTATGAGTGACATTTAGTTTCCAACAAATAACGGTTAATTGCTGTTTATGAATCGCTTGATAAACCATGAAAATTCTTTAAACTTTTCGTCCTGGATTCTTCATGATCACTAGATATCTGCCAAAAGAATTAAGAATAACACACACAGAGTCTCCTAGTAAATTAAAGAAGTTACAGAGTGATATATTTTTAAAATGACTCGGAACCATGCATCAGAAAATTACACAAGTTGAAGACATCTAAATTTGAACATTTATTTAATCGTCATCTAATACTTCTGTATCATCGACATGTAATTGCGCCATGCTTGGTTTAGATATCATATCAATCAACATGTGTTTTGGAACTTCGGATCCTCGCACCCGTAACGTATAACATGCCATCTCCACTTTACGCAAGCTCTGACGTAATGTGTGCAGTTTCCTGTTCACTTCTCGGTTTGCGTTGCCCAATGATGCATATGCTGCTTCGATACTCTGAAGGAAACTACAAATTTCAAAAGGGCGATCCATATCGCCACACCCGACAGAGTTGATGGCTCGACGCATCATTTCACCGGTTAGATCTGCTAGACCGAGAATATATTCACTCGCAGGAACATAAACCATTAATTTACTCTCAGGTTTGACTATTTGTCCTGAATTCTCAGATTCCGATAGTTCCATTGGGACACCTTTGTTTTCATTGGAACTTTTGTTATCTTCGTTCACTTTACTTGCTTCGTTTGCTGTGAATGTAAGCCTAGCTTGTACATCACTAAGGGGCATCAATTTATTGTCCTTCAAAAACACATAGAATGTCAAAGCTTCAATGTATTCCTGTAACCCTGGAAACAAAGTTTAAAACAAGTGATTTTACATCATTTGAATAACTTTATCACATGTTATGTAGAATGGTAGCATAGTGAAAGACTTTTAACATGTTTGTTGTTTACATATGCATACCATGATTACTACTTATCAGGGATATATGAGAAGTTTATAATAGGTATCGCTTTAGAAATGATTACTCCTTAAAGCTGCACACATCCAGATGAGCCAAAATATTTCAAGAAATTCAATCTTTAGAACAATGTTTTTTATCTTTAGAAAAATGTATTAAGATCTTAAGACAAGTAAAAACATTCAAAATTTAATTAATTATTTACATGTTATGTGCGATTAATGACTGATTTCGCAGTATCAGTTACTATAATTCTACTGCATTACTAATGCAGTAAGTCGTATTTATGTATATTTTGACCTCTTTTAGGTAATTTACATAGATTGTAAGTGCCGTTTGCAATCTGTAAATAACTTTCTTTGCTCACTTCACAGTATTTTACTTTAAAATACATTTTTAAAATCTTCATGAAAATTAGCATGAATCTGGAAGTATGCTGCTGTAAAGGTTTATTAAAATTTAAACATCAATTTTACTTTATTATATTACGCTTTCTAATTTAAAAGAAACAGACACACACACACAGAGACAGGCATTTGCCAAGTTCTTACCTGCTGTATAAGCCCTCAAGAATTGGAAAGGATCAGTATTCACCAGCTCTTTAGCTACCTCCCTGAATTTTGTATTCTCCAACGCTGCCAGTTTTTCCTCAGTCTGTTGTAAAATATCAGCATTTTCTGTAGGACTGTAAAAATAAAACTTGATATATTTAACAGCACAAGTCGCTCTCCTGATGTAAAACAAGCAATTATCATAGCATTGCAAGCAATCCATAAGTCCCCTACCGGTTAGAACCCCATCAACATTCTGAAGGGCAATTGGCCATTCACTAATGTTTTAATTTTTCTCTATTTTAACCCTTTCACTGCCATAGGGACAGCTTATGCCGTCCCTGTTATTTTCGGCGTATTTGCCATATGGACAGCTTTAGCCGGTTTCTATAATAATAATAGTAATAATAATAAATTAATATAAAAATAATAATAAATATAAAGAAAATAATAATAAATATAAAGAAAATTATACCATCGGCAATAATTATTATTATACTCACAGATTTGGAAACATATATAATTATTATAATACTAATAACAAATAATAATTATTATATTTATTAATAATATAGAAATTTCTTAGAAAACCCTCTGGCAAATAGGTGATCAATAAAACAATAACCCTCGAAAGGGTTAAGTAAATTTGTTGGAAAAGTTCTTTAAAAGTGATCACAGGAAACAGTTTTTATGAACAGACAGACAGACAGACAGACTGAAGGACACTCTAAAGTTAATATTTGAAACATCCCTGTCACCAAAATATAACATTTTTAAAAGCAAAATTCTTAGAGGAGATAACTCTTGAATTAAAGATGCAATTTCATAAAAATTTTCAGCTCTTTTGACTAATCACAAATATTGTTATATTTGCCATCTTTTAAGCCTATTTGTTGCCAAGGCAGCCAATATTTTTTCAAAATAGGAAGAAAAGATAAGACATGCATAATCTCCAGACTGCCATCTACACATATGTCAAGTTTCATAAAAATATTTCCAGTACTTTTTGAGTTATCACTGGATTCAGTGTATGTGTAAAATTTGCTATATTTTCAGTCTATTTGTTGCCATAGCAACCAGAATTTTCAACATAGGAAGAAAAGAAAAAGACGTGCATAATTTCCAGACTGCCATCTACCCATACTTCAAGTTTCATAAAAATATTTTCAATACTTTTCAAGTTATCGCGGGATCCAGTTTTGTGGACGGACGGACAGATGTACCAAAATTTGATGTTTATGAGGCAAATAAGCTCATAAACACCACCTGGACCAACGTCCATAAGCAAAATAAGCTCATAAAAACAAAACAAGAGGGCCATGATGGCCCTGAGGTCGCTCACCTGTATATAGGCCCCCCCCAACCCCCACCCCCCCCAAACGTTGCAGGGCCAATTTAACCAAAGGGCTTTTATTTGCACAAACTTGGTAGACACCCATAAGAAGATGTTTCATGCTAAACATCTAAGCTCTAGCTCATTGGGCTATTTAAAAGAAGATTTTTTTTAAGTTTTTACTATACACATATAGTTAAAAACAATGACACCCCTGGGGCCGGGCCAGTTATGACCCCAGGGTTTTTATTTGAACAAACTTTGTAGACACTTACTAGAATATGTTTCATGCTTAATATCTAAACTCTAGCTATTTGGGTTTTTTCAAAGAAGATTTTAACTTTTTGCTATACACATATAAGGAAAATCAATGACCCCGGGGCGGGGCCAATTTTGACCCAAGGTCTTTTATTTGAACAAACTTTGTAGACACTCACTAAAAGATGTTTCATGCTTAATATCTTAACTCTAGCTATTTGGGTTTTTTCAAAAAAGATTTTATAAGTTTTTGCTATACACATATAAGGAAAATCAATGACCCCCGGGGCGGGGCCAATTTTGACCCAGGGCTTTTATTTGAACAAACTTGGTAGACACCTATTAGAACATGTTTGATGCTAAATATCTTAACCATAGCTCTTTGAGTTCTTTAAAAAGAAGATTTTTTAAGTTTTTACTATATGCATATATAGGGAAAATCAATGACCCCCGGGCGGGGTCAATTTTGACCCCAGGGCTTTTATTTGAACAAACTTGGTAGACACTTATTAGAACATGTTTCATGCTAAATATCTTAGCTCTAACTCTTTTGGTTCTTTAAAAGAAGATTTTTTAAGTTTTTACTATATGCATATAGGGAAAATCAATGACCCCCTGGGGCGGGGCCAATTTTGATCCCAGGGCTTTTCTTTGAACAAACTTGGTAGACACCTATTAGAACATGTTTGATGCTCAATATCTTAGCCATAGCTCTTTGAGTTCTTTAAAAGAAGATTTTTTAAGTTTTTACTATATGCATATAGGGAAAATCAATGACCCCCCGGGGCGGGGCCAATTTTGACCCCAGGGCTTTTATTTGAACAAACTTGGTAGACACTCACTAGAAGATGTTTCATGCCAAATATCTAAGCTCCAGCTCTTATGGTTTTTTAAAAGAAGATATTTAAAGTTTTTTCTTTTGGTTGCCATGGCAACCAGTTCTGCATGGAATTAAATTCTTTGAACAATTTTTAAAGGTGACCACCAAAGGAACATTCCTGTGAAGTTTGGATGAAATTGGCCTTGTGGTTTATGAGGAGATGTCATTTAAAGTAAAAGTTTACGGACGCCGGACGGACCACGGACGGACGCCGGACGAAAAGCGATCACAAAAGCTCACCCTGTCACTTTGTGACAGGTGAGCTAAAAATAGCTCTTAATTTGAATTTTATGAGTTTTTGTTCTTTATTTAACTACGGAATGAAGCTCATAATAATACGGACGGACGTTTTCACAGGACAGTAATTATGTGGCTACTCTATTGTTCTCTCTATTGTTCTTTTTAGCCACACAAAAGAAAATAGCCACATAAAAGCATTACGGAATGAATGACATCAAAGAGAAAGAACAGTTACCTATTGTTCCTCTAGCCACATAATTACTGTCCTGTGAGTGCGGACAGACAGACGTCCGAGCAAACATTTTGGGTTTAAAAGATGTTACAAACAAAACTTTAACCAATGCGTAAAACTGACACAAAAGTGAGTAACTGAGTATGATAGTTCTTCTATTTAGGACATAGATGTCAATTCTGAGTGCATTGTTGTAGAATAATGCATGTTTGAGTTCAAATGTACATGAATATAATCACAAAGGCCAATAGACCAGAGTGATCAATTACCAAGCATTTGATCGAAAAACCGTGCATTATTATACTACATTGCATACAGAATTAATATCTATTTCCATTCTAACTCGTCAAGAAAAAAATATAGTTGGACTATATTATTATGGTTGGTAATGAAAATTGTTTTTAACCTCAGAGTTTCTTATAAATACGTTCCTTGAAAGCTATTCCAGGCGGTTGAAAAAAAACTCTGTTGTTAAGTCTAACATCTGCAGAAACATTATGAAAATAACTAATTTCCAAAATGTGGATAATTTTGTGTTTATTTTATTTCACTTTATATTTTGCAAGTGAAAAGCAGAGTATTTATAGTGAAATTAATGTGAAATTTAACTGGTTTGCAATATTGAAACTGCGTTCTTGTTTTCACAGGTTTTGCACGCGATGTTTGGGGCTACATTGTGACCTCAACTAAACAACACTTTAAACGTCTGAACAGCAGATTTTTTTTCTTAGTTAGACCATTTCCTATCATTCTAGATAATTTTCAGAACAAAGTTCAACAAAAAAGTCTTATTTATCAGATTTTTAAAACAAAATGGCACCGATAATGTGTCAGTTTGCAAATACAGACAGAGGACATAAGACAGCTAGTCAATTGTTGTGAAATATATCACGCTTCCAACCTTCTTTATCTATATAAGAGAAATCTCTAATAGTGTTAGAATGTACATTTACTCACACCAAAAAACAACTCACTTGTTAACTCTATGCAACAAGAATATAGCTCTCTTGCTTTCAATGGTGATATCTCTACTCAGTTTTACTATTCTCTCATGTTTATCATGACGCTGATCAAGCTCCTGTTGAAATCCTCTAAACATCTGGATAACAGGAGAGCTTTCATCTACATCTTGAACTTCTTCTTCACCACGATCTGGCTTATCTCCCTTTGCTGCAAAAAGTTTGAAATGGTAAAAACATAAGCTATGAGTATATTTCTTGCATAAAAATATGCCACAATAACCCAATTGACGATACAAGTCTGTGTATAGTAAATGACCCCCCTGGCTAGGACATTTTGACACAAGTGTCATGAGTTACAAATCTTTTGTTGTTCCACTCGGCCCAATGCTAAATATCAAAAATCCAAGCTCTTGGCATTGTAGTTTCTGAGAAGAAAAGTCTACATAAACCATGTGACCATGGGGTGGGACCAATTTTGGCCCCAGGGTTTTTATTTTGGTTTATATAAATGTTGTAGAGGACCACAGGATGATGCTAAATCTTATTTATCCACTTTGTGTATCAACTGATTTTTTTGCTACTTTCAAAACAATCTGTGGTTTTCTGAAGGCGAAAATATCGCACGATAAATAAAACAAGAGCTGTCAGTAGGACAGCACGCTCGACTATTCTAAGTGCTTGATAGTAAAAGAGCCTATATAATGTTAATTTTTTTTAAGTTCACAAAAGGGCTAATTTTTTTTATAAATTCATGTTATAGGCCTTAGAGAGAGTCTAATTATAAAGTATTGGCTTGACTATTCGGAAGGTAATGTCACAAGGGTGTTTTATTGAGTATAATAATACTAATTACCTATGAATACATAAAATTGACAGAAAAGGTACAAAGCTTGTTATTAAGATGTTTATCAAGTAAATCACTGCTTTATTATTATGAATGCATAAAATTGTCCCAAAAAAGGCACAAACCCTACAGTAGTTATTGAGATAACAGCTTACAAGCAAAACTTTACCATGAATTTCTAAGTTGAAAAAGGGGAAGAAAAAATCAGCCTAAATGCAAGAAAGAATATTGGATCTTTGTCAGTGACCTACAATTATGACCCAAATGCATGTGAAGTTTTAAAATAAAATATCTTTAATAGTTATTGAGATATGTAAAACTTGCAAGTAAAACAATAACCAAGAGAGACTAAGTAGAAAAGGGGATATGAATCAGCCTTAATGCAAGATAGAGTTATGGAACTTGGTCAGTGACATACAATTATGACCCTCCAATTATGACCCTAGGTGCATGTGTAAAGTTTCAAGTAAATATCTTTGAAAACCTTTAACCTTTAACCAAATTTCTAAGTTTCAAAGGGGCAAATAATTCTGCAAATATTGCAGGCAGCGTTATGCAAATTTTGCAAAACTGAATGTACATTGTTCCTATAAAAAAGTATTTTAAATTTCATTTGAATATCTCAAGCAATAATTGAGATATTTGACTTTTCAAAAAAACTTTAACCAAAATGTCTAAGTTCCAAAGGGGCAAAATTCTGTCAATATTGTAGGCAGAGTTATCCAACTTGTCAATCAGATGTACCTTGTTACTATAAATATGTATTGTAAGTTTCAATTGAATATCTCAAGCAATAATTGAGATATTTGACTTTACAAAAAAACTTTAACCAAAATTTCTAAGTTAAAAAGGGGCATAATTCTGTCAATATTGTAGGCAGAGTTATCCAACTTGTCAATCTGATGTACCTTGTTACTATAAATAAGTATTGTAAGTTTCAATTGAATATCTCAAATAATAATTGAGATATTTGACTTTACAAAAAACTTAAACCAACGCAGACGCCGACGCGAACGATGACGCCGACGCCGTGCGACTACAATAGCTCTCATATTCTGCGAATAGTCGAGCTTAAAATGGGGAAAGCCTGAAATTCCAACAACTGAGAATTATAAAATTTTCAATTTTAATTCAATTTAACATGCATTGTACATAGCAGGGATTATCTTATAACTTATAGAACCAGCTTTCAGTCAATTAAATTTATCAACTAGCTGATTTAAGTCAACTGCTGTTGAGTCATGGTTCTAGAAAGACTGCAAAGGGCATTTCAGATGGAAATGTAGCATTTTTTGGTACCTATCTTTAGGCTAGGGGAGACAGCCTTTATTCTGCTGTAAAACATAGAAAAATATATCGCCAACACCTCTCGCTAGTGTTATAGGCATATAGGAAATAAATGCATGTCGGATTGTTGGTGAAAGGAAAGTAAAAAAATAGGCGGCAATCTCCAGGATTAGACCCCTATGTATATTTCAGAAGTAAAACTATGAATATAATACACTAAAGAAGTGGTGGTGGTGTTGGTACTTTTCACTCAGGATCATGGCAGTAAGTCACATTGAATTAACCAGAGCACAGTTCAGCCACCGCATCAATCCTGGGCAGGGTGTCAAGCAGTTTACCAGTACTAGTTGCCTTCACTTTTGCAAGGAACTAAAACTTCTGTACATACCAGAGCAGAGGTACAGTGCATATATGACCGTAGAAAAGATTTTATGATCAAGCACCATGAAAGTGTCCAGCGCTGTTTGGGAATCAAACCCAGGTGGCCCGATTCACAGTCCAACAGTCTACCTATTGAGCTAACCGGATAGCTATATATAACTAAAGGAAACGTATTGAACCATACATACATGTATACTCGTTTAGACCCCTATGTATTTTTCAGTAGTAAAACTTGTATATAATACACTAAAGAAAACGGAGTGAACCTAATATATACTCCTGGTTTAGACCCCGGGGTCTTATCCAGGATATAGCCAACATAGTAGCCTTATGATTGACATTTGTCCTTTTACTAATATATAATAATTGTCACTTTGGTACGACATATTTTAAGTACGAATAACAAATTTTAAAACAAAAATATGACAACTTCTGAACAACAACTGTAAATCATAAAATGTTAAAAAGTATTCAAATAATATAATATTTTATATCTCTGAACAGTTGCAGTAGGAAAACATTACCATTTCTATGCCTTTTCCTTCTGTCAGCCATTTTCGCGACTGATGTAGATTGAACACCACTAACATTTATGTTCAAAGGTAATGTAGTACTAAAAGTACAAATGGCGCTCTCGTTCATGTTCCCTCTACGAACACAGACACCTTTAAAAAAATCATATTTCATACTGTATAATAATACACTGTTTATAATTATACAGGTTGAAATATGATTTTTTTAAACGGCTTACACCGGTTTGAGTACCGCTCAAGCCGATGCTAGGGGGCTTGAGGGATGTTGCACGTATTCATAAGATAAGATAAGATACATGTAATCTTTATTTACAGTCGGTTACATAAAACATATAAACTTTAGCTATATAAGCTATTTTCCGACAAAACAGAATATCCTTTAACAATGCAAACAAACAATCTGTATAAAAGAAAATATATAAAAGGATTAAGAAGATCAATGTACATTTATGAATGACTCTGTAAAACAAATTAGATTTATAAGCACATATAAATATGGATAAGATAATATTAATTGATTAAAAGCAAATATAACACTACAATCAAACATCACAGAATATTACATCATACAATAATTCCATTTTATGTACACAACCCTATAATCAGAATTAGAAAAAAAAAAAAAATATTTTTTTTAAAAATAATTTAAAATAATAATGATTCAATCTTATTTCAATATGGTTGACCTATAGTCCAGCATGATGCTTCAGCATATATCAGTACTATATATATATATACATACATATATATTAATTAATACCGAATTAAATTAAAAGTAGAAATAAAAAGGTAAAAAACTGTAAAAAGCTATTGTCCCCATAATGGGATATGTGAAAAGCTGATCAGCAGCTGCCACACACTCAAACACTAACTAACTGACAAATGACTCTACACATATACAGAACAGTAATAAGCACATATGGAGTACACAAGAAGCACATGAAAAGCATATAAAGGATAATATAAAACAAAAATACAGGCCTTATACAGCATTTCTTTATGGCAGACACAATACAGAAAAAAACAAACAAAAGAAGCATGCAGCTACATTAAGCATAATTTTACATACATAAGGGCAGTAACTAAAGAGAAGGCATAGAGAACAATACTCAACAAAAACAAAACACTTTTCATTATCCCTCATGTACAGACTCAATCAAACCGAGTCTGCAATACTCTTGTAATTTTGTTGTGATTATAATGCTTTCGAGGGATCACTTCAGATTTTATACTTCACAACAGCAGGTGTCAAGTGCTGTGTGGCAGCTGTAAAAAGTTGCCCCGTACTTCACTTCAGTTTTGTTATATTTTTCTGGTCCTTCGGGATTATTGATGCCAGCACTATTAAGTGTTGAGAATTGAGTACCGCTCAACCCGGTGCTAGGGGGCGTAAGGGATGTTGCACGTATTCATTATCCCTCATGTACAGACTCAATCAAACCGAGTCTGCAATTCTCTTGCAATTTTGTTGTGATTAATGCTTCCGAGGGATCACATTGTTTCCAGATTTTATATTATTTTTTTTTGATATACAGTACATATTGTAGTTACTTACATACAGTACTGGTGGAATAACTGCAAACACCATCAATGTCCTCAGCCGAGGCCATCCGTCATCATGTGTTTCGACCCCTAGCTCGGTACACTCTCAGGATGGGGGGTCCACAGTGGTGATCAATCACTGCGCATTGGTGGTGGGTTTCCAGCTACTACTGTCTCTCTTCATCCATATCCAGCAAGATGCTTTCTCTGCTGCTTGGCCCAGTTTCTTGATTGCTGCTCTTCTATTCTGGCCAGTCACTCCCACTGCAGAAAACATTCTCCACACTGACTGTGCAGGGAAGCCTCTGCAGCCAACCTCAACAGGAAAGTTCCATGTCTGCCATCCTATATCTCTGCACTCTGCCAACAGTCCATCATATTTTGCCCTCTTTCTTTCATTTGCTTCGCCACATCTCTCCTCCCAGGGAACTGTCAACTCTATGATTATTACCTTTTTACTGCTTGTAGACCAAAGTACCATGTCTGGTCTTAGGTTGGTTGGTACAATATCAGGAAATTGCATCTTCTTTCCTAGATCAACTTCTAACTGCCAATCCCTTGCCTGATTTAGGATTCCTGATATGATCTTTTTACTTTCCTGGCCTACTTCACCCTCCTTCACAAACTGGATCTTCATAGGTTTGTTTCTAATGTGTTTTGCATCTTTCCTCTGTTTCTCTATCACTTCAGCGAGTTCTCGGAGTACTTGGTTGTGTCGTGTATATAATCAGTACATGTGCGGGGATTGACAAATATACATTAAATTTTGATTTTAAAGGCGTTTTGAGCTCCACACCCCAAGTGTCTGTGTCTACGAATGGAAAATTAAAATTAAATTACCCATTATAAACAGAACATTTTATTACAGTTATATAAAGCTCCATGGTATTAACAATGGACACACTTGGAAGGAAACCAGCTTAATAAAAATTCATATTTCATAAAATATGAGTTATTAACGATACGTTTATAATAGATAATACTTTTAAAAATGATCTAAATGCATGTACATGTAACTGATTATGTTTTTTTTTATAAATTTAAAAATGTCATGTTAACTGAATTGGTGAATACCAATACTGCAGTATACGTCAAACCTAGAACAAATCTGTTATTATAACAGTTCTTTTAAGATATAGTGAAATACATGTAGTCAAAAGTCTTCAAAATTTTAAGCCAGTAAATTTATATTAAAGGGATTCCAATGAGGTTTTTTGACGTGAAGGGACCGAAAATATTTTTTCAAGATTTTTATATAACTAAATGTATGTCTAGACCAATAACTCATGTACAAAATTTCAGACCATTCGCTCACTCCGTTTCCCAGAAATAATCAATTTCATTGTGCAAATTGGCCCAAAAAGTGAAAACCGTTTAAACGCTTTTCAATTTAATCGGCCAAAATCGCATACAAATCGATTACCAATTTAATACCGTGTATATTTTTGTATAATCTATTGCTTGGTTTCAAATTTAAATGTACCAGTTGATTTAAGAAAGAATTTCAAAATATATCATTTAAGGCTATTGGACCTCAGTGGAGTTCCTTTAATGTAATAATCAATGTTACTTAAGCAAATTGAGAATCACTTAAATTTTCAACCCTTCAAGTAAAGTGTCAGGAAATAAATTTTTTTAGACAAAATCAAATCTAGACACGCTATAATAATTGTTTTGATATAAGTTATAATATTGTACTTCATCGTTTATTTCCTTTCTTTCTTATGAAACAATGAAAATCTACTGATGATTATTTTAAATGAGTTCTAACTGGGAATGTGTAACTAGCAGATGAGCATTCATAAATATGGAATGTTATATAAGTTTCAAAGTTTCAAAGTTTATTTCAATCAGAGCCTTAAAAGCCCATGAGGCATACATATACAAAACTTTATGACGAACAGTTTATACATTTAACAATAATTTCATTATAACAATATATCTTGCAAATATATTTTACTTTGGAGAAGGTTTTTTCAACCTTATTCACCCTTACCAATTGTGACATATTTCGAACTAAATTTCAGGTTACCTCTTTAGACATATAGACATGTTAAACTGTGTCTTATTTACTTCACATTGATAGGTGTCAAGTGCTTCAGATCAATGATTCCAGCACGATATACTAAACTCTTTTAAACTGAATACAGTTTACCCTGTGATAGAGGGCTTGATGTTCCCATTTTACATTATCTCTGGTGAACAGACTTCATTAAACCGAGTCTGAAATTTTTTACATGAATGCTTATCTTACCCTTAGTCTGCTGGTGGCTAACAGATTCTACCCACATTACCAGTAAAGACTGTCATCATCATCAGCATCAGCAGCAGCAGCAGCAGCAGCAGCAGCAGCAGCAGTAGTAGTACTATTATTGTTATGTATTATCATCATTATTATTATTATTATTGTTGTTGTTGTTATTATTATTATCATTATTATTATTATTATTATTATTATTATTATTATTATTATTATTATTATTATTATAGAAAGTACCCGTCTGTTGAAGTTCAACGTACACTAGCTGTATGACGGAACAGTTACTGTTTTGCTAGCATTATATTCTGTATTAAAGATGCACTTAATTGTATCAGAATATTTATAAATTTCAGCAGGGTCTTTCAAGACCCTGAATTCAGGAAGTAGTAGTAAAACTTATCCTAGATTTGATGTTTATGAAGCTTTTGTTTAGTCATGTTGCTGTGTTGTTTAACATACTAGTATGTCATTTGTATGAATTATTACAACACCTTCTTCTTAAATTTGATTTGATGCGGAGTTTTGTTAGCAGTGATTGGTATTATATATGATTAACAATTAATTTATCCAGTTCAATCTGATTTCTTCGGCTATTATGCTTACCAGACGTATATGGGAAGAGCCTGTTTTTTTACAAATTGTGATTTGGAACAGTCCATTTAAAGTTCAATGAATTTCAATATCAAGAAATAAAAGAATTGAGTCACCGTGAAAGTGTGTCAATATCTCAACAAAAATTGTCATCTTGATAGTAAATGTCTTTTAAAGAGTTCCTTGCTTGATTTTGTAAAATACTGGTAAGTTAAAATGTTCACTACGAACCGCTTCCTCACGCCAATAAGGCGGATTTATGAACAACAGGAATATAATACAAATAAAACTACCGCTCTATCAAGCTGCTATCTATTTCTTAGAAGCTTTCATCAAACCCAAAGCGGAAACTTAACAGGAAACTTGTACTTCATTCAATAAGTATAAAACATCGCAATTAAAGATGAAATAAGATGATTTTGTAAAGCAAGCATAGTTACATTGTACTTATATGTAAATATGGTCTGGACAAATATTCATTAATTTTATGTTGTTTTGTTGGGAAGCGAAAGAACGACGAAATGGCAACAAAGTAAGTTATTTTTTTATTTGTAATGAGAATATATCATGTAAGGCAATTTATGTTTCGTTTCTAATATGTAGTATACTTTGCCCACAACAAGATTTTAGTGCTTTATTTTATAATTTTAGACAGCCTTAACACAGGCTACATGATGTATCAAATCTTAAACATTCTTAGTCATAGATGCGTTATCCATTTCATGTTGAAAACTATAGGTGTATCGTTAACTAGATAAAAATGAATAACTTAAAATAAACACACCCAAAACGGCAATTATTGAAAATGTTTTAGACTCGGTTTGATGGAGCCGTGCCAGTACATGGACGGCATAATATTGGGTACAAGCCATCTGTAATATGATTTGATTTGATTTGATTTGATTTGACGTGTTATATTTTATTAGATTAGATGTGCTTAACCTTGACATATCTTGATATTTTAGCCATGCATTAGTTTTGGTACAATACTTTTGTTGTTATTGGGTTTTAAGTTGCACCAACGCTGAAAAGGTGATATGGCGACCACACAGCTTTACTTGTGGTGCCCCACCGTGCATTCTTTTAAGCAATATCGGGGACAGCTAGCTGGATAGCCATGCCTTGACAGAAACTGGCCTGGGTATAGACATAATATTATATTTGAGTTACGCATTGACCTAGGCATTCCAGTTTTTATTTCGGATATGAAAGAATGACTACTAGCCATATCTGACAGTACCAAAATGTTTCGAAAATTAACTCTGAATTGTAGGATTAAGATTAGAAATTGTATCTGATATTTCAATCTATCTGTCTGTGCTATAGAAATATTGTAGAAAGAATTTGAAGGAATTTCATATAATGTTGATCAAGGTAGTATGACACAATGAATTTGGAAAAAGGGTGATCAATCGGAAGCATTATCACAACACAATAACATGAAAATTGCAGACTCGGTTTCATTGAGTTCGTACATGAGGTGTAATGAATTTTTTTCAACACTTAATGGTAATGGAATCAATGACCCGAAGGACCCCGAAGGACCAGAAAAATATAACAACAATTAAAGTTTACTTTAAGAGTAAAAGTCTATTATATCTAATGCTCTGAATGTTATGAACCAGAACTTGCAAACTTTGAAGGTTCCACGTTAACTGCCATATGAAAACATCTGCGGATGTTTCATAATTCACGATTGTACCAGTTCATGTTAAACGTTGAATTCTTCTTAATAAGGCCGGTGCTAGGGGGCGTTAGCCATAGATTGCAATTACCACTACCGCCCATGAACAGGCTCACGAATCGAAGCTTCAACAATTTCATTTTTACCGTGTTATACTTTCTGTAGGGATTCTGTTTTTGTTCTCTCTTTTTTGCAGACACCACTCTGCCAAACACTAATTGCAATAAATAAGTAGATTTTTCAGATATATTTTACGTCAAAATGTTTCTATACAATGTTAGAAAATTTAGGTATTGGATTATACCGATATACATAATCTTATTTCACACTATCCAATTTCTCACATAATTATCTTCCTATACTCCCCTGGTCCCCTCTTCTTAACATATATGAGGAAGAAAATAAAAAACAACACCATATCATTTAAAATGAAGTGTAGAGGAAATATGGCGTACAATTACATGTATATGTTAACATTTAATTAAAAGAATAATTGTAACTTGTTTATATCACTTTCATAATCTTCCTTCAATACAAGAATACTTATACATGTAATTATAACAGCACAGATTCTCATTTTATTAAAAGGAGGAAAATATGGCAAATCGAGAAAATATCCTGGTATCAAAGTCTGTCACTGAATATTGTCCCAATATGCTATAGTTACCGGTATATGAGCCGTGTCATGACAAAACCAACATAGTGCGTTTGCGACCAGCATAGATCCAGACCAGCCTGCACATCCGCGCATTCTGATCAGGATCCATGCTGTTCGCTTACAAACCCTATTACAAGTAGAGAAACTGATAGCGAACAGCATGGATCCTGATCAGACTGCGCGGATGCGCAGGCTGGTCTGGATCCATGCTGGTCGCAAACCCACTATGTTGGTTTTGTCGTGACGCGGCTCATATATTAAAACCAGCGATGAATATAATTATGTTTGAAAAGAATTTAATTTTGTCCATAATATAACTGAGGCATATCATGGCATTTATTGTTATGCTTGAAAATAAAACATATCTTGACCAACAAAAAAAACACATCATCATTGTATTGTACAATATACCGTTGTTAATTATAATTTCTAATATACCAGAAAAAAGACATTTTTATAGATAACCGCATATAACTTATTTGAAGACAAATAGTGAAAAACAGAATTAAAAAAAAATTTGAACGCCCAAAACGACAAAAACGAAATGTGTAATTCTCGTTGGAACATTGATACTGTCATTCAGGACCTTTTAAATGAACAATCATTTTGTTTCCTGTTTTTTAATCTTGTATATGAGGACAAGTTTATATTAAGACAAAAAGACCATGTTCCATCCAATAAATAGATAAATTTCAAATCTATATTACAGCAAAGATGGAGAACATATATCGCAGAGCTTATCAGAGGTGTTAAATGACATAGGAGTGAATGAAGGAGAGGTGTTGAAAAAAAGACGAACACAACAACTATGCGAGTCGATGGAAACTATTTCATGGAAGGTAACTGGTAGAAATTCAACTTTTTATCATCTTGGCAGTCAGAGTGAAGGAACAACTACTGTAGGACTTCAGTCAGACATAGATACTCTAGGCTGCAATCACGATGTCAATGTAATGCAAGACTGGTCGGAGTGGGAACCTGGCAAGGTAAACTACCTTATGATACAGGATGAGAACACTACACCCGGATATTGTTTCCTACAAAAACCTATTTCTGAAGAAACCCATTCTATGACAAGCACTCATATGCCTGATTTAAAACTAAGTACTGACAGGAAAGGAAGAATATTGCTCAAGAACACAAACATTAATGTTCCAGATTTCGAAAACCACGGGCCAGCCTTTGTTAGACAAGGACATCATGCATCGAAGGACAAAGACATGGTGTTAGCTCTACCCTGTAAATCCTGGCCTCAGTCTGCATCAAGTTGGATAGAGAGACAAGATATAGGAGGGAAGTGGCCAACAAAAGAGATGAGAAGATATGCAGCCAGTACAGAGTGTTTTGTTGTTGCAACTGGAAGTAAGATCAGTTTATACCCTGAGTTGGAATGGAGAATATCTACATGTCTGGCGGAAAGGTGTCTGATGTTTGATTTAAACATAACACAAATAAGGTGCTACGTGTTGATGAAGATGATTTTTAAATACTTTAAAAATACTAAGGGGGAAGTAAATATATCAAGTTATATGTGTAAAGCAGTTCTATTCCATTGTATAAAAGACACAGAACCATGCATATGGAAAGAAGGCAACTTGTTTACATGCTTAACATACTGCTTACAGGAATTAAATAGCTGTGTACAGAATGATCATTGTTCACATTTCATAATATCTGAAAACAATTTGATGGCAGGACAATTTACATCTGAAACAAAACACGAACTTTCAAAACTCATAAGTGATATCATAGAAAGTGATGGACACTGGTTATGTAGAATTGATATTGATGACCTCGGACGTAGACTACAAGTAAAACTGAACTTAGCACCGAAAAAAGCATACCGTTTTCAGTCCTCTCTTGAAAGGCGGGCACTTGCTTCGGCCTCAAATTACTTCAATTTGGCATACCAAATAGGTATAAATCACATTCATATTTTATTAGGAAATCCAAATACAGATATTAGAGTATTAAAGCAATCTGTAGAAAAACTTGATACCATTCGTGGAAATGTCGACAACAGACTAGAACATGCGGCATCAAACTTTCTTGCACATTTTCTCTTTGCCACTTATGGATCAGCATTGGCATCATCCAGCATTAGTGAGAACAATCAAGTATCAACTGACGCATTGGATTGGCTTACAGCTGGGTTGAACTCAGACATGTCATCTAGCAGACTTAAACTGGCTTCAGTGCTGTACAGAACAGGAGATATGGAGAAAGCTGAACAACTTCTGAGACATGTTGAAAAACAGTTTTACTCTAATCCTGCGGTACCTATTTGCATTTGCTGCGAAAGGCATCAACGTATACAACCTTTAGATTTGTTAAGGGTATGCGCAGAACAAGCGATGAATGTGTCACTCGTATAACAGCTTTTTGTGTCAGATTCCTAGTGCAGGAGAGCAACTGTGTTCCTCATGAACTACAGTATGAAATGTTCAGATCTACACAAGATGACATGACTAACAGAAACCATGATAAAGACTATTGGATGGACTGGGCTGCAGTGGATTCTCTACCCTACCTTTACTTTCTACAATACAAGATTTACAATCGTCTACGTAGACAAGAGGAACAACAGCAAGCACTGAACAATCTTTGTAAAACTATTGAGAAAGATGAAAATCTTGGACACAAAGAGACTGCTCTAAATCTACTTGGACAATGTCAGGAACAGGAAGAGAAGTGGGCGGACGCATTGAAATGTTACATAAATTCTCTGCAAGTCAGAGCTAAAAACAACGCAGCAAGTGTCCATATTTGCAAGCTTCTCTCGCGTTTACTAAACCAGAAAACTGTTTGAAGGTTGACTGTAAATGAAAGAAAATACAGTGAATGTAGCCCGCCGTTAAGTTTCCTTTATACTTTCGTTTTTTTACTATTTTGGCTTTAGTATATACAGAATAAAACAGAATATACATCGGCAATAAATATGATGTAAAACTTAGAGTAAGTGGTGTCATGTATTTCCTAAACTGCTTGCTGCAGTTTTCTTGAAAACTGTGCCAATACGAGTTACAGAAAAAAAAGAATATAACTGAAAGAAAGAAAGAACATATATATATATATGTATACATGTATTTTTGTATTTAAGGCTTCAAAGATATATATATAAATATATATATCTTTGAAGTCTTAAATACATAAAAAGTTTATGTACAATAAACCGCTTTGTATAATCTGATAATTTTGTTAAATCATGCGATTTTGTACTGTTTTGATGTATATTATTTATGCTTTACTGTCATGTTTCGAATTCTTCAAAGCTTGAGCCAATTCACTTTAAATTCATTGAAATAAAATTATTGTCTGCACAAATTTTCATAAAATGTAGTTATCCACTTTACTGACAGTTATGTATGTGCGGAAGTAAAAATATACACTAGCTTATTCTTCAATTAGTAACATATTGTTGTGTACATCTCTTGAATATGAAAAGAGGCACGGACAAGGAAGATCGAGATGTATTGAAAAAATAGTTCCTCTACAAAGCCTAGCCACATAAATCCAACGCAAAAGAAGCTGGCAATGTGCCGAACAGAAACCGAACAGGAAACGGGGATAACATAAGGATGGCACAGGGAAGAGAAATGAAAATAAGTTAAACTAATGAACACATTACGACCAAAATGTAAATGTATTATATATAAATATATATTTGTATAGCTTAAGAAAAAAACTTGACTTTTTATAATATTTATATTAAAAGATCAGTACATTTTAATTGCTTGCTGTACATAGAATGAATAAAAATGGGAACATATAATTGTGTTATTTGGATCGATGAACATGCTTCACCTCTAAGTTGTAACCAATCAAATTAAAGTCACTTGACTGATTATGCTAATTTGTTTGGCGGGACTAAAGGCCCCTGTAGAAGAAGGTATCAATCAGCCGTAAGCTCATTTTAGACTGTCTGTCAGACTATTGCTGCTAAATTACATGTACCAGAGAACCTTTTGATATTTTGATATATAATTGAGAAGATATGAATGCCATTATTAACAAATAAACAGCAGATGTGTTAAATCATCTTCAATAGAGACAATACGCCATATACATGTATAATGTTTTGTAAAGTTTCGATTTTGATTTTAATAATCGTAATCAAAATACAAAGATACATGTACTTCAATAAAGAATTGGGCAACATTTAGTGAGTACGAGCTCTGTAATGTTCCGGGTATGATTCATCAAAATGTAACAATACATGTACATTTGTACTTAGATAAAGATATGGGCTAAACATTTAGTGAGTATAAAATCTTTAAATGGTTTCGCTTATAATATAACAGGGCTTCTTTTTCTCGTGTTTATCATGCCTGTGCCGAAGGTTTTAAAAGATTTTGAAGAACAAACTCTTTTGTCAGGTATAACATTTTACCAGAAACCGGCGCAAAATATGCACTGACCAATGAACATTTGAAAATCAGGAAAAAATGAGCCGCGTCACGACAAAACCAACATAGTGCGTTTGCGACCAGCATGGATCCAGACCAGCCTGCGCATCCGCGCAGTCTGATAAGGATCTATGCTGTTCGCTTACCAACTCTATAACAAATAGAGAAACTGATAGCGAACAGTATGGATTCTGTTCAGACTGCGCGGATGCGCAGACAGGTCTGGATCCATGCTGGTCGCAAACGCACTATGTTGGTTTTGTCGTGACGCGGCTCAAATGTTGTTTTTATAACATCTAGGCAAGCCATGAACTACATGCACATAAACGTTATGTGTGACTAAAACATCTATTGTTTGTATCAATATTAAAGTATTTGAACTCTTGCAAATCTCTTTTCTAAGTCATCAGATGAATGTAGACTAGTCTGATTACAAGTGATTCCAATACAAGCATGTCTCCTCAGGTGCTTTTTATAACATGACATCCGATCTATATAATGATCTGATCAGGCGGTGAATATTACTGTTAAGTCTTAAATATTAAAACAAAAACAATTTTAATTGTGACCAATGGCTGCAATGCAAATGGCAAGATTTAAAAAAGTTGGAAGTATAGGTGTTACAATTATATTAATTAATGAATGCACACTTAAAAAATGTCACATAAGTATATAAGTGGTTTTCATAATTTTATTTCATAGAGCAACTTTGCATTTTTGTACATAAATTCATTTATGATAAAATTTAAAATTAAAACTGTTACAAATACAAATAAATATCATTCCCTAAGATTAAAAAATGCAAGAGTTGTCGAAGAATTGTACACATTGGGAACTTTTAGAACTTGAAAGTAAAACAAGAGCAGTTGAAGCACTTTTTAAAGTTGAAAAATGTGAGTTATGGTTCTTGGTCAGTAACACTTGAAGACAGCCGACTCGAATTTAAGGAATACATATAAGATTGTTATCATATCGCTGTCCTATTTGTACTTGAAATTCATTTAAAAACATCTTAGGAAATATGATCGCTCAAATAAATAAATAAATAAAAATTACAAGAATAATTTATATTGTAATAAAAAACAAATGACTAAGTTTGAATACTTTAATAAAATATGTACAGTTTCATCAGAAGAACATGAATTGCAAAAAAACTTCAAAAAGCCAAGGAAGGAACTCTCTTCTTTTACATACAGAAAACTTCAATTTTTGCTTCAGACCGATTTTACACGATAAACACTCTGTCCTTATTTGTTTGCGGGCATATATTCTTCAAATCCATTCAATTAATGTCACTCACGTGCGCTCAGTTTGTTATTTACTCGTCATTACTCGTATGAATTCTGTAATAAAATACAAAAAACGTTCGTGAAATTGTGAAGTAGAAGATGAAGATCATTATAAAATCTATCATATTTTTCAGGTGTTATCTGACAGTTTAAAACATTTTTATTTTATCCGTAATAATATTTATTGCGCTTTTCAAGACAATAAATCAAAGGATTAAGTTTTAATACTAGAAATATCGAAATTTCAGACGCATCCTTAATTTTATCAAAACAATATTGTTGTTATTATCTATGCATAATACCTTCATAATTCACATTTCCATCTCCAGTCACATCGGCCATCTTGATCATGTATTCTATGTCCTCTTTACTTAGTCTCTCCCCAAGGTTCGTCATTGATTGTTTTAACTCGTTAGCGTTCAGTTTACCATTACCGTCTTTATCAAACACTTTAAAAGCTTCCCTTAGCTGTTCTTCCGGTTCTGTCTCTTGTAGATGGAACGCTAACACTGTTAGAAACTCGGGGAAATCCAGGTAATCCCGGTCTTCTGATATAGAAAAAAACCCATTCTCATAAATTTTAGGCTTGCATTAGACAAGTACATTTGTAAATCCTTTAAAGGTGTGGAAAAACATAAATAAATAAAAATTGGAAATAATAAAGAAATATAGAAGAAATAAAAGAAGAAACAGTAAATTTCAGATTTAAAGACTTATGTTGATATGATTAAACTTCTGATAATGAGTAATAACAGAGATTTTTCGATTGCCCAATCATATCAATATAATTATACATGTAAACATTTATTTAAAAATAATCATAACTTTGACACCTCAATTAATGAATTATCGTATAATTTCATGTGTGGAAGCTATCTCGATAGCGTGGTTCTGCTCAGGAGCCCGCTCGTGCCAGAGATTAAGACAAAGGAGGGACCATCAAATCATCATCCGCCAGTAAAACTGGAAAATCTCCAAAAGACCTTCACCATCCGCCAGTTAAACTGAAACATCTCAAAAAACCTTCATTATCCGTCATTAAAACTAAAATATCTTCAAATGACCTTCATCATCCATCAGTAAAAGTGAAACATCTCCAAATGACTGACCTTCATCATCTATCGGTAAAATTGACAAATACACAAGTGACCTTCACCATCCGTCAGTAAAACTATAACATTTCAAAATGACCTTCATCATACGCCAGTAAAACTGAAAAATCTCCACCCTCAAGTAAAAAAGAAACATCTCCAATGACCTTAATCATCCTTCAGTAAAATTGAAAAATCTCCAAATGACTTTCATGATCCGCCAGTAAAACTGAAAAATCTCCGAATGATCTTCATCATCCGCCAGTAAAACTATAACATTTCCAAAATACCTTCATCATCCGTCATTAAAACTGAAAAATCTCCAAATCACTTTCATGATCCGCCAGTGAAGGTCACTTGTGTATATTTCAATTTTACTAGTAGATGATGAAGGTCATTTGGAGATTAAAACTGAAACATCTCCAAAAGACATTCAACATCCGCCAGTAAAACTGAAAAACCTCCAAATGACCTTCATCATCCGCCAGTAAAACTGAAACACCTCCAAATGACCTTTATCTACCAGTAAACTGAAAAATCTCCAAATGACCTTTACAGTGCCGGTGTGACTTACAACTTAATAAAAATAATTATAACAATGGTTACAATAATCTATTACCTTGACGTTCGATCGCATTGACCAGCTTGTCCAGTTCTGCTAACGTTGGATTATGTCCTAGAGAAAGCATGGCATGAGATAAGTCCGTTATCTTTATTTGTCCATTACGATCTGTGTCGTATTGTCGGAACACTTCAAACATATCTGAAACAATCATTATCCATTGACATTTAGTACATTTTTTTAAAAAATTAAAGTGCGCCTTAATATCATTATTTTTACGAACATCCTTAATATGTTTTGTCCAAATTTTTAATACTAATATATATTTGTGTAGTAAAAGTGAAATTCTGAACCTAAAAATTGGTATATTGCAGCTCAGCTAATTATATATAAAGTTGGATGCATGTCAACGAGCGTGAAAACGTCCAATGTAAACTGTTCTCAATACAAATACAAATATCTTTATTTCTCTCAGGTCAAGACATTGACAACATGATGTAAATAAATATTAACAAAGTTTCGAGGCTCAATAGAATACATACAAAAAATATAAGCATATATAATACATGTAAAGGGAGAGTACCTTGGGTACTTTTAACATACAAAACATGTGCATGTAATAAATTTACACGTGTTATATGCATTTAATTTTCATTATATAAATTTTTCAACTATATCCCTAATAAACATACATATTTTCTTATATTCAAAATTACTATGGTTGTTTATATTCATAAGTTTATCAAAGAATAAATGTTTCGTCTAATGTAATAATTGGGTCCTAAGTATTTTTTTCTTTGATGATCAAAATATTTACATTCTAGAAGGTAGTGAAATTCATCTTCAACTGAGGCATTACATAATGTACATTTTCTCATATTAAGTTATATCCCATGCCAAGATCCAGTTTCTACTGGTAATCTATGGTTTCTTGTTCTAAATTTAATCAGATATCTAAGTAAATTAGGATGTGTATTTGTGATAGACTTTTCAAATTCGAATTTGTGTTTAAATAACTTGTGATTTTTACACTTTCCAGAAGTTTCTAAGTTTGAATACCAGCTGTTAAGAAACAAGTCTATTAGCTTTTGTTTAACTGTTGCGGTCAACCACTTTTGATTTGGAAAAAGAAGTGTGTCCCAAATATTGTTCATGCCGCATTTGACGAGTATATCTCTAATACACGTTATCCACATAAAATAATTGCTTTGCCATGTTTGCTGTGTATTTAAAAAATTACTACTATAAAGAGCAAAATAATACATTGTTTGCGTTAGTTTAAACGTCTTTGGGACAACTATATCAGCCCAAAAAGAAACTAATCTTGATTCTATATCTACTGAGAGCGGTGTCACACCTGTTTCACCATACACTATTGTATTTGAGGTCCTAAAATATATTTTAACAACTTAAGTTGAACTCTTTCTATCATGTCAATGATACCATAACCACAAATTTCACATCCATAGAGCAAAATTGGTTCAACAGTTTTATTGAACAAATCTATTTGGATGTCACTCTAGTAGAATCATTGCTTCTAATTGGAAATCCTTACAGGTCCGTATGTTTCTGATTATATACAGTTAATACCTACAACATATGTAAATACCTACAAGATATATCTTCTTCGTTGAAATGGTCAACCTGAAAGATTTAATAAAAAATGAAATAAGGTAGGCATTTTACTACAACTGATGACACACAGTCATAACGAGGTGGCAGTCTAGACCAAGATGGGCCGATTCTGTATAAGTAGTAGTTACGGTCACTTCAAATTGACAAACTACCGTGCTTTAAAGTAACATCGAACAAAACTATGAAAATAATACATTTATATTTATGGTGTCAAACAATAAGAGTTTTTTTATGAACTCATCAAAAAGATGAGACACTGGATTTGCGACATTAACTTTATTTCACAATATTATTTATTTTACCGTAAAGTAAAAAATGAATTAAATATATGAGAAAAAAACAGTGTAAAGAATAACGAGAATGTTCACTGTATTTCTATTCTTAAATGGCGCGAAATCAATCAATCAATCAATCAATCAATCAATCAATCAATCAATCAATCAATTAATCAACAAATAAACAAACAAGTGATGTCTTAATACATCGATATGTTAGAGTATATTGCAATGAAAATATCTCCTTAAATACAACTTACCATTTTAATTTTTGAAATCAAGCCTTTTTCTTATATCTATCCCAGAAAGCACTTTAACATATGTTGCACGTTAAAATAAACGTTCAAATTTAACACCAAGCTTGACCCGGTGTAATCGATATCAATTAAATATAAGAAGAACAGATCAATATCTTGGCAATAAGCAATTAAATGATGAGATTGATATGGTAGATAGTCTTTATATTCACAAATCTATCAAAATTGTTATCTTTGTTTAGATCCGAGAGATATTGATTAAATAAGAATAAACAAAGACGTACATTGTATATTGTCCATTTATTTCTATAATATTAACAACTATTTGAACGGATTCATAAAATGCAAATATAAATATGCCGCGTCATGACAAAACCAACATAGTGGGTTTGCGACCAGCATGGATCCAGACCAGCCTGCGCATCCGCGCAGTCTGATCAGGATCCATGCTGTTCGCTTACAAACTCTATAACAAGTAGAGAAACTGATAGCGAACAGCATGTGTCCTGATCAGACTGCGCGGATTCTTAACCTTTAGTCTGCTTGCAGAAACAGATACTACCAATTTGACAAGTGCAGACCATGATCATATAATGGTCGACATTGTTCCCTTATCAGTTTATTTTTGAAAATGTCCCCCAAAATCATGAATGGTTTTGTCCAGATTGAAAAATGGACAAGTGCATTTTTGATATTTGGTGTGGCGCGAAATCAATCAATCAATCAATCAATCAATCAATCAATCAATCAATCAATCAATTTATCAACAAATAAACAAACAAGTGATGTCCCAATGCATCGATGTGATCTAAGGTTTAATTAGAGGGATTCCACTGAGGTTGTTTTGACATCACGGGAATGGAATTTGTTTTTTTAGAGATTTATGTACCAAATAAGGTCTGAGCTAATAACTTGTATGCAAAATCTCAAATCATTCGCCTGCTTTATTTCCACGAAATACTTATTTCAAAAATGTAAAGAATGACTAAAAACGTTCCCGATTCGAATCGGGCTAATAGTCGCACTAAACATGATTTTCAACTTTATTGTTAGTATATTTCTTTATATTACTATCTTTTGCATATACAATGTAATTTTGTTTTACGTGCTCCAGTTCATATATGTATGAAATTCATATGTTATTGTTTTTAGACCTCAGTGGAGTGGAACACTTAACAAAGCTAAACAGTATGTTATGGCACACCAAACAACTAACTCCACTTTTATAACATAAGTGACACCCCCCGCCACCGCCCACAAAAACCAACAACAAAACAATAAAAAAACCCACAAAACAAATAAGCAAACAAACAAAAAACAAACAAATTTCTCTGCCAACGAAACTGGCTATATATATATGTGTAGAATGCTTAATTCTATCTTTAAGATATTTTAATTCTTTGGAAGACTGAACAATACATAGTTTCACAATTGATTAAAGAAGAGCAAGTCTATTATACATATTAAGGAGAGATAATGCGGGAATACTTGTAAAAATGATATTCGTTTTCAATCTTTTTCATATTACAAAAATTACAAATATTTTGTGAATAACTGGCAAAATTTTACAAATAAAACAGGGTGTGGGTGAACAAAGCTGCATAAACTAGTCATGTACATAAGTTAAAATATAAAATAACGATGAAAATGATGAAAGAAAGTTCATGTTTGCTATCTAAAGACAGTTCATGATGGCTTAAAGACAGTTCATAATTGCTGTATAAATATCACCGGTATACAAAAACAAGCTTATTTTGTCATTGTCGGTTCAAAAAGAAGAAAAAAAAAGAAGATTTCATCCAAAAAGAGTAATGCATTTAAACGGAAGGCATATATAATAGATAGTTTTCATTTTATCTAAATAAATCATTATCTTTAAGGAATAGATCTACGATTTATAGATAGACAAAATAGTATGAATTACTTTAAATTGATGATTAATTTATTTTAATAAATACAGTGCCACCTCCACAGAACGACCCTCTGTACACCAACTGCGTCTTTACAACAGTTTCAATTTACCAAATAAAGACTTCACGAAATGATTTTACCTCTCAACAGCAACACCTCTCGCCAACAACAAAAATATTTGCCTCCAAAATGAGGTCGCTCTGCAGAGGTTATACTGTATGTCTCGATCAACGCGTACAAAGCTCTACATGTATTTAACTGATCAAAGTTAAAAACAAGAAGGACAACGGGTATCAATTATTCATTTGAGAAAATATGTTATACGATATAAACAATTTGTATACATATTTTTGTTAATTTCTAAAAGTATCAATACATGCAACACATCAGTATTATCAAGAGATCACAGCTAGCCAGACGATTTCACAGAAATCACTCCCTTCAAGATCTGAAAATAAAAAAATAAAAACAATGTCATGTTTAGAAATGAGCCGCGTCACGACAAAACCAACATAGTGCGTTTGCGACCAGCATGGATCCAGACCAGCCTGCGTATCCGCGCAGTCTGATCAGGATCCATGCTGTTCGCTATCAGTTTCTCTACTTGTAATGGGGATTGTAAGCGAACAGCATGGATCCTGATCAGACTGCGCGGATGCGCAGGCTCGTCTGGATCCATGCTGGTCGCAAACGCATTACGTTGGTTTTGTCGTGACGCGGCTCAAATCGAATCTTGCTCAGAGCCGTTTAAGGTTTTGACATGTGTGTTGTTTTTCATGACGTATGAATTGAACCATAGAACTACAAATATCTATTACATTCATAATTCAGTGCCAAATGTTGACTACATAAAATAAACATTTTTCTTCAATAATTATTGCTCGAAATGATCGAATTCTTGAGATATCCATTTGAATCTGTTTAACATTGTCTCCCTTTAACCATGACTTAAAATAGTCGTAAATTGTAAATATCTTAGCACTGCAGAGGTCAAACAGGAGATTACATGGTAATGTTTATATTACATTTATATTATATGGCAATGTTTATATTACATTTATATGGCAATATTTATATTACGTTATGTTAATAGCCAACACTGCTAATAGGACATTAAGATATTGATACAAATGAATAATACATATTTATGTCTGAAGTAAACAAAATCATCACGACATTACTTTGCAACTGCAGTGAAAATATAATTTTGCCCCTAACCAAGTAACTTATACAATCACAAAAACAGTCATCAATGCACCTTATGGTGTATAATGTTCTTAAACATTTAAGAGGACATCAGTTGCCGAGTGGTACTGTAGCATGCGATCGTATCTGAACTAATGCACGGTGGGGCACGTGCATTCTTCCGTAATCAGTAATCAGTTGGAAAGTTGCCGTGCGACATATACAATGTCGGTGTGAATTAAATCCAAAAACAAAAATAGTAATTAAATTAATGAATTATTATCTTGGACTTCATTGAAGTAGAGATAACAATAGAACCTACCGACAGGTGATATGTAAGTAGACGACACAAGTATGTTAAGAGTACTGCTGGTATTGTTTTGGGTGAGTCTTTTTCATCTGGTCAACAAATTCTGCAATAATAATATAAAGAAAGTGATACTATGGTCAACATGCATTCATCGGCGGAACTTTAATCGAATTTTATCCATGTCCTTAAACACTTAAACAAATGTAATATTTTCATGAAAATACGATAATTTAGAGGTTCACAGCCTATTGACTTAAAGTAATTCAATGCAAGTGCTTCGACGAAGTTGTGATAAGTAATACCTTGGAAGGAAATCTTGTCATCACCATCTTGGTCTGCTTCTTGCATCATCCCGTCTATCTCAGAATGATGGACTGGTTCGTCGGACATCTCGTCTGCAAAACACGTTTGATTATTAAAGTGTGATGCGCATTGAAATATATACGTATGTACAACACTATAAAAGCGACGGCATCCCGTAAAGAATTATACTGTGAAAACAACACCCGGTAGAATGTTTTTCACAGTCTTAATCCTTTGTAAGAGATAAATACCTCTAAAGCCACATAACTATTTATCTCCTTAAGGAAGTTGGTGTTTTGGTAACATGGCAAAATCAATTCCTTGTATATAAGTCTCATTTCTTTCAATCATTCAGTTATGTACTAAATAAGAATAGTGTATGCATGTAAATAATAAATAATCAAGCACCCTCATAACGATCGGAATGATCGGCTTTTATTATGACCGACTAAAAGGCTCGAGAAGTTGCTGTCGCCCTTTCACAAAATCTGATTTCATTCCATAAAGGGGCGCCGCGCTTCGGCGCGGACGCCAATGAATATTGACGTCAATGGTATGATGCAGTTCTTGTAGATTTAATTGCTTCAGGACATGTTTCGCTGCGTTGAACTTTCATCAGAAATTATTTAGAGGCATGAATAAGATAATGTAACCACGTGATCAATGTTTCGATTTACTGAAATTGTAACCAAGTCGTTTTCTTCATTCTAGAACAAATACACATAAAAACAAGAGGGCCATGATGGCCCTGAAGTCGCTCACCTGTATATAGGCCCTCGTAGCGGGGCCAGTTTTAACCCCAGGGCTTTTATTTGAACAAACTTGGTAGACACCCATTAGAAGATGTTTCATGCTAAACATCTAAGGTCTAGCTGGTCAAGTTTTTTCTTTACACATATAGTTAAAAACAATGACACACCTGGGGCAGGGCCAGTTTGGACCCAAGGGCTTTTATTTGAACAATCTTTGTAGACACTTACTAGAAATGTTTCATGCTTAATATCTGAACTCTAGCTATTCGGATTTTTCGAAGAAGATTTTTAAGTTTTTGCTATACACATATAAGGAAAATCAATGACCCCCGGGGTGGGGCCAATTTTGACCCAGGGCTTTTATTTGAACAAACTTTGTAGACACTTACTAGAAGATGTTTCATGCTTAATATCTAAACTCTAGCTATTAAGGTTTTTTCAAAGAAGATTTTTAAGTTTTTGCTATACACATATAAGGAAAATCAATGTCCCCTGGGGCGGAGCCAATTTTGACCCCAAGGCTTTTATTTGAACAAACTTTGTAGACACTCACTAGAAGATGCTTCGCGCTTACTATCTAAACTCTAGCTATTTAAGTTTTTTTCAAAGAAGATTTTTTAAGTTTTTGCTATACACATATAAGGAAAATGAATGACCCCCGGGGCGGGGCCAATTTTGACCCCAGGGCATTTATTTGTATAAACTTGTTAGACACTCACTAGAAGATGTTTCATGCTTAGTATCTAAACTCTAGCTATTTGGTTTTTTTCAAAGAAGATTTTTTAAGTTTTTGCTATACACATATAAAGAAAATCAATGACCCCCGGGGCGGGGCCAATTTTGACCCCAGGGCTTTTATTTTAACAAACTTGGTAGACATCCATTAGAACATGTTTCATGCTAAATATCTTAGCTCTAGCTCTTCGGGTTCTTTAAAAGAAGATTTTTTAAGTTTTTAATATATGCATATAGGGAAAATCAATGACCCCCTGGGCCGGGGCCAATTTTGACCCCAGGGATTTTATTTGAACAAACTTGGTAGACACCCATTAGAAGATGTTTCATGCTAAATTTCTTAGCTCCAGCTCTTTGGGTTCTTTAAAAGAAGAATTTTTAAGTTTTTACTATATGCATATAGGGAAAATCAATGACCCCCTGAGGTGGGGTCAATTTTGACCCAAGGTCTTTTATTTGAACAAACTTGTTAGACACTCATTAGAAGATGTTTCATGCCAAATATCTAAGCTCTAGCTCTTTGGTTTTTTTTAGAAGAAGATATTTAAAGTTTTTTCTTTTGGTTGCTATGGCAACTAGAGTTCTGCATGGAATGGAATTCTTTGAACAACTTTGTTAAGGCTTCACACAAGGAACATCCCTGTGAAGTTTCATTATGATCTGCCTTATGGTTTCAGAGGAGATGTCGTTTTAAAAGTGTGAACGGACAACGGACGACGTACGACGGACGACAGACGACGGACGAAGAGTGATCCTTATAGCTCACCCTGAGCATATGCTCAGGTGAGCTAAAAAAAAACAACAAAAAAACTCGCAACAATCAAAAGAAACAAACAAGAAAAAAAGAATAAAGAATAAATAAATAGAAATGGAAATGATAAAAATGAACTTGTAAACTTGTCAAAAAGTGTGATCGTAGAAAAACTTCATTGAAATTTGTTTTCATTTCACGGAATGGAGAATAAATAAGTTAGATCTAAGAATCAATCACACAAAAATTGCATACCAAGAGCTCTTTTCATCTCTGCACGTGTTATAAATCCATCATTATCTCTATCAAATATTTTAAACATATGTTCTAACGGACCTTCAGATGCCATACCCCCATCAGTGAAGTTTTTAGCCATCATATTTAAAAATTCGGGGAAGTTTATTACTCCATCACCTGAAATAGATAAAGTTGATAATTTCATCGTCTGCATTGTTGGCCTTTTTTTAGGTAAAACAGGTACAGTGTGATTGAAGATTCAAATCTTAATCAATAAAATTAGAAAACGATCATGTTTTTATCTGATGGAGATCAATGTCACGCTGACATTGTGAAAATCATCCAGAAAGTGTCTCAGACTGGTATTTCAGGTCAAGACATATTGGTTAAACTACGGACCTTCCAAATGGCTCATCCAATGATAAACATTATATGATATCTAATGAGTGTCAGTCTTTCATACCAATATTTGCCTTATAACCACAACACTGTGAAAATATGCTGATTGTGTTAGTAGGACTGGATAAAAAAAACGACCCGTGCAACAAATTATTAAGTTAATCGAAGTAAAATGTTGCGAAAACTGACTTAGGGCCCGTCTACACCTATCCAAGTCTTGAATGCAAGTATCATATTCTCTTGTATTGCATGGTGTAGAATGAGTTTTAAAGAGAAATTATGTGACAATCAAGAAGATAATTCCTTGCAAGAAAGTTAATACACGTTCTATTTTTCTACAAGTTTTTAGCTGTCAAGAAACTGATAACACCGGTTTGACACAAAACATGTGCCCCGAAGGTGTGATAGTGGTTTTTTTATATTATTTTCTGACCTTTTTTGTTACTGGTAAATGTATACAAATATCTTGATCCAGAGGAACAGATCAATACACTGATACACAGAAGAGGCAAAAAAAAAAAAAAAAAAAAAAAAAAAAAAAAAAAAAAAAAAAAAAAAATGTAGTCAAAATGGATTTTAAATGATCTTGTTCATTTAGTGAATAACTTTCATCAAATAAAGAATTTGCATCAATTCATCAGCTTAAAAATATTTTCTCACATTTTCCATTATTTTAAAAGAATGTACACATTTCAATTTCATTTAATTCATTTTTTTTAGCTAATTGCATCATTTCCCCCCTTTTTTATTCACATATTTTACAGAAACATGATAGTCTTGCAAGGACAAAGGTATAAAACCTGGGCAATCTTAATTAGATATTTCAGAAAAATTGTGTCTGATTAAATATTGAAAGGGCCATTTATTTAGCTTATCTAAATGTGACATGTAAGAAACTTGAATAGGTGTAGACGCGGCCTTGGGCAAACCTAAACACGAATAAACACCACAATACAATTAATTATATATGACAAGAGTGTTACATACTGAAAAAGCAACAGCGACTTGAGCATACAAATAAGGCTTCAACAGACGGTAATGAGAATAACAGAAGTTTCAGTGACATTATAATACAAGATTTCTTAACAATTTAAAAAATATATACGCTGTCTCACGCTTGCCTCAAGAAACAAGGAAGCACAAAATAATACTTATTATCAGTGTTTACTATAGATACCCTTGTACGAATATATAAGTTGGCGCTAATGGGCCACCATAGTTTACCGTCAGTGTCGAATTCAGCAATAACTCGTTCAATTTGCTCGTTCGTTCCATCTTTTCCTAGTGAAATAAGAATGTCTTTCATCTCCGCCTTCTTGATGTACCCATCATTGTTCTTGTCAAAAATCGCGAACGCGTCCTTCAAATCTGAAAATAATTCAAACTTCAATCAAAACTTGATAAAATTTACAATCTTCTTTTGCTTCATATGGGGACATATAATGAAGATCTGAAAGTTAAAACCTCATGTTTATCATAACAGTCATCTTTCAAGTCTTAAAAATTACAGATTTAAATAAAACCAGATCTACAGGGTGTTTATAAATTTATATCGTTTTCAATTTTAAGAAGTGAATCAATATATTAAATGATATCGCATCGGTGAATAACTTCTGTCACAGCACAGTGATTTGGATATGTAAACCGGACTATTTTAAGATACATTTTTTGGCTGTTTAAAGCCCACGCATTAATATCCTAGTTTGTTGTAAGATTGTATATAAGTAACCATCCGAAGGTAAACATACCTTAAAGGTACATTGTATAATTAACTTGGAAGACATACAGTATACAAAACACAAAACTGTACGAAAAGAATGTAGCGCGAGATACATGTACATGTATATTATTGCCTAGCATGTATCATTAGTCCAATGCTTTTTTCATGAATATAAAATATCATTATGTATGTAGTAAATGTATGTGTTCATGTAAAACATACCAATAATTTCTTTTTCTGTCAATCTGCTCCCCTGAAATATGAAACAGAATATTCATGAATAGTAGATTACAAGTTAACACAGATTTACATTATCAGTTCGGTAGATTTGTCATAGCAGATCATTTTCTCAAAACATCGAAATATATACATATTTATGATACTTTAATAGAATTGTTTCTGTAGTGTTGTCAGACTTATAATTATTATAATATGGATATGAATACATGAATTAATTAAGAGATGAATAGCCTGTCTTCGATTGTCGATGCATTTCCCAAAACGTGTCAAAATATCCATATATGACTCACAAATATACATGTTTTGGCTACATTAACTATAGGACATTGAGATAACTTCCTTTTACGTTCACCACACTAATTTGTCGTCTGCTGTAAGAAATTCATCAAAACATACTTGTCATATTCTGTAGCGTATATTACTCTAAAGGTTTGTTAATATTCAAAAATGAGTCACATGCATACATAAGTAACGACTTAATTATATGTTACATGAACAGTGATGAACATGAAAATAAAATTTAAACTCACCATTATAAAATATTTAATTGTCTCTCAAATATCCAAAAGTAAGCATTCGAACAAAACTAAATAGGAAGTGGAAATAAACACAAATATCAGAAATCGATAGAACGTAATGAAAATTGTGTGTGTAAAAGGATTTACAACTTATTTGTGGGTGGTTAAGTTATTCGCACACTCGTTCAAATACACCTTAGTCACCGAGTCAGAAAGTGGTCATGGTTGATGTGTCATAACAATTCGCGCGTGAAACGATTTTGTTCCCTGCGGTCTCCAGACCGCAGGGTATTGGTACGCGTTTAACTTTTGAGGCATGGAGGAGCACGTGACCTGTTTTCGGTACATGGAGGAGCATGTGATCTGTAAACCGTACATGATTGGTTAATTGACCTTTTCGAAAACCTAGCTAAATACCGTTTGCCGGTACGTTACGGATTTACCTCTAGGGAATTAGTCCGAATTACACCTAATTAAGAACAAAAAACTATTACGTGATATTTCACATTTTCTATAATTATTTTACTGTTTAAGATGGAAAAACTTGAATGATGTGTTTGAAAATGATCAATGTATCTTTAAAATCTATCTCAAATTTTACAAACAATAAATTGTTTATACTGAAAATCTACAAAATTAAAATATTCGTAGTGGCATCTGCCATAATAAATAGAGATATTTTCTGCGTAAACTTGTGTGTTTACTTTATTATTTGTTTGCTCGGAATTATTCATATAATGGTAGGCCTATTTAATCATTTTCTTAAAAAGAAAGAGATAATTGTTTTATGTTCGACCTTCTCCGGTCTTCAACGGTCACCAGTTTCCAAAGACCTTCTATATTGATCGATTATTGTCAACTATATCACTGATACAAACGTTTATTTATTCCCCCTCCCCCACAAACAATGTTGAAAATAGTTCAATGAAATATCTTTTTATCATTTAAAATGTTCACCGCAGGAAACCATTTTACTTGTTTTATAAACAAATTGGACAGGTCAAAATTTACATAGTGTCATACAATATACAACTTTTATGTACAAGAGAAAAATTGACAATCGGTTTTTAGCCGATTAGAATAAACGAAAACGAAAATAAACAAAGGCAACCCGTACGCTTTATTTCCGCCTTTTTCTGTAATTTATAATAGTTCAGTCGATGTGATTTTTTTTTCGATTTTTTTGGAATATATATAGAATATAAATTGCTAATTTATAGTTATGTACTGTACATGTTCAGAAGATAGCATATAAAGAAATAAATTTGTTTGCCTTAGGCAATTCAAACATAATAAATCATGCGATAAACGCAGTTGAGAAAATATATTTATAACGATATGCCAGATAAAGCAATCTTTTGTGAATGGTAAATGTTTGATAAATAGCCATATGAAATACTCGTTTTTGTGACGCCTTCTACAGAGTAGTGGCGGCATATAGGGATCACCTCTCCGTCGTATGTCCGTCACAAAAACTGTCTGGACAAGTCCTCAAAAACTACTTGTGGTGTCACCCCGGTACGGAATTAGACCCAGCCCGTTGTAGTCTAGAAAGTAGTTCTTTTAAATTTTGAAATGGCCTATCTCAAGTCATCTTAATTGATACTGGTTATATTTTAAGTATATCTTTAGTAATTGTGTACATAAAGTTTCATTTCTGATACTTTAAAGGTTGTTTTTGATGTATTTTTGCAGGATTTCATTTGTGGGTGGAAGGTTTCAGGAGGCACTATGCACAAGAATACACACCAGTTACTTTTTGGAATATTCTATAGTGATTACAGAAATTAAAAGCTGCAGAAACACTCCAAGGGCTAATGTATTATTTTTTGTGCTAAATTTACTCGGACTGCATTGGTGTTTAAAGAAATGGTCATGAAGTTTCGGTACCGGATTTGCTTTGTCCAGAATTTAGCCTTAAATGTGATGGATTTACTATAGGATATATGGGTCGAAAATTCAGTGGGCCGTCTCCTTGTGAAATTTCATCCAAACTTTACAAAAATGATCAGTACAAAGTCTAATTGTGTTCTAATCTGTTGCAATTTCATCAAATCTGTACAGGAATGATCAGTACCAAGTCCAGTTGTGCATATCGTCCGTATTTTTCAGTTATATGATTTTTGCCAGAGTGATGTCCCTTTAATGATTTTTTAAAGTTTTGTCTTGATGACTTCTCTTATACAATAAAAAAAAATCGCGTTTTGGCCTATTAATGTTTTTTTTGTGTATCCTGCTACTGCACAGTAGCTGCAGCGTGCATTTCGCTTTTATCTGGCGACACATGTGGCCACTGATTGCCCTTGTATTGATTATACTATACATGTATCTGTTTCCAAAAATCTGCCTCATTATTGAATGAGATCGCATACATGTATACATTTATTACACAGAAATGAGTTAGAAAACTCGATAAGTCTAATAGTTCTTCTTTATAAATACATTTATTTTGAAAATTTATATTTACTTCTTATTTTCATTGCACATGTTCTTCTTTTGAATAAATAAGAAAATAAAGCATTTCATACAACTTGGCTTTGTATCGTTTATTTAAAAAAAAGATATTTATCATCTAGCAAAGAAAGCAAGCAAAAATGCACTTCTTGACTTGTTCCTTACTTTGAACAAAACAGAAAATAATACAACCCATTAACCTGCTAAATGTGTGTGATGGATTTGCCTAGTTTTAATTTTGGATCAGTCCATTATATGTTCTAAGGATTTCAATATCAATATCATAAGACTGGGATCTTTGCTCTAAAGGCTTTTGTGGCAAGAAAAATTAATTTCTAGTAAGTGTTTCAAACAATCAGACAAGGTGGTAACTTTCCATCCTCCCTTTTCCAAAATAAAAAACAAAACAAAATAAAACAACAACAGAAAAAAAAACAAACAAAACGAATCAAAAGCAACCTATGTTTCCAGATTTCATAAACAATACTTTTTATGTTGTTTAATTATTGTTTTATTTCAGAATCTCAATCTACTCGTACTGCTGTTTACAACAAATACACCAGGAACATAATTTTAAGCTAAAATATGAGCTGAGTTCAGATAAAATATGTAAATACATTTGACAAAATTTATTCTCTTGCCAATTACTGTATGGCACGATCAGATGATTTGTGTTGAATTTATTTAATAACACAACATTTAGTAAAATGTTAATACATTTTTCGTTCACATCCTTTATATCTGTTGCCAACTATCGTATAGTTCTATCAGATAAGTTGTGTAGAATACATAAAAATACATTTCACGTGAAACGAAAAAGGTGCTATTCCTCATGCGCATACTTCTATTACAGTAAATTTTATTCAAATTGAACCACGCCTTTTATTAGAACACCACCTTTCTCGTGTAATCTCAAAGCGGGCCACACAAAAAATTGCGGTTTAGTTCCAGTTTTTGTGTATGCCTTGTACAAATTTTTGTCAAATACTTCATCTTCTGTCGGCGGACAAAGGAAAATTGGCGGGTCTTGAACACACATCCACCATGTTAACTCAACAGCTTTTTGTGCATACTTTGTAAATGCTTCGGGTGCCGCTGGCAATTTCGCCTTTCCTGTGATATGCGTCATCTTTCTTTTGGTAAATTCCTACGAAATTATAAAGCTTTTCTTATACAAATGTAGTAATTTATCAATTTAGTAATTTATCAGCAGTATTTTTGTGAAAAAGAAAGAAAAGTTTCAACACAAACGATCAAAAGACACCACTAATTTAAAATGAATATTTCTTTTAAAGCCTGAATATCACCAAATTAGCTGCTTAAGCGGACATAAAGACTTACAAATTGAAACAAATCTGGAGTCAACAATTGAGTTCCTTTTAGATTAATTATCATTATGAAATAAAATGTATTGACAATATCTGATTATAGAAAGTCAACGCTAGAAAACAGACACACACAAATGTTGTTTTTTTAAGACTTTTATAAACTTTTATCAGATTTCAAACGAGCCAATTTAAACATTTAAGTACTGTAACAATCATATGATAACATACCATTTTAAGCCTTTGCAATGCTTTACTGGCGATTTTCTTTCTGTATTGAATGATTAAACTTTCACCATCCTTACTAGCATTGAGTGACTTTGAACTTGGAATCTGAAATTTATTGTAAAGTGGAATAACTGGAAAATTTCAAATCATTTACCTATTAAATCAATTTAAATACATACCTAGAGGTAAAAATCAAATCAACTTGTTTTAGCATCATTTTATCGGTATTGTTAATGTAATAAAAGACAACTAATGAAATAATAGATAACGTCATGGCAACAAAATTTTCAAAGTTTAAAATTGATGTGCTTACAAACATTCAACCCGTTTTTCGTCTTAATGCATATATAATCAATATCAATTTCTGACCGGGAGCAAAATTCATCACAAGAAAGTCACATCTTCAAGTAGGTACGAGTTCAGGTGTTTCTTTTTTGTGCTTTCACCGTCGAGCTTGGTCGTTGAATATCGAATTTATATGTCTGGGGTTCAACCCTGAAAAGTTTATTCTACAATCTTACGTTAATAAAGTACATACCTCGTTTTTATACTTGTCTGGTCCAATCTCAAATATTGCATTCCAATGTTTTGTAATGTCCTTTATTTGTATCTCCGCTTCAACTGTACAGAATTTATAGGCTTCCTGAAATTCAGTATAAAATATAATTCTTAACTTGGTAAACAACTTCATTAAAGTGGATGGTCTATACAATGAGCACATTTTCCGTAAGTTAGTTATAACATTTAAATGATGAATAATAAATTGTTTTTTTTCCTAGAACATTTTATTTATGCTATATAAATATATGTAATATATCGGACCATGCATCTAATTCTTGCCAACAACATCATTATGTAATGCTTTAGTGATTTGTTGTTGTGTATACTATCAATGTATTTATGCACTGTATTACTTACCTTCCATTATAGATCAATTCGCTTTGATATAACAGTGTAAGATTTTTTAACTGAAGAGTTTAGAAAAGAAAAGGATACAGTTTTATTCAATTCTGTTTAAAATACTTATTATTTCATTTAATTATAAAACATAGCTTATGATCGGTTTAGATTTCGATACCGGATTATGTCATTTAATTTTCTTTACCCTGTATTTCTTTCCTGTACAACAAAATTATCATAATATGTCCTATAGCAAAACCATTGCTGTTATTCTTTCTAATTTCGCTATATGTGTCTGATGTTATTTTCATAGGATGCCCTTCTATTTTTATAAAGAACTTCATTATATATATATAGAAATAATTCAGTGTTTACCGTGACAACAGTTAGGAGAATTTCAATAGCTTCACTCTCTTTTCTACTTCTTTTGCTTAGTTCTTCAAAGGCTTCGGTCCATTCGTTATCATACAGTTCTGAAAACCTTTCAGCAATCTTTGTAGGTCTGTTAGGATCACTAAGATCAGCGATGTCTGGGTTATTCTGTCTCATTCTGAAACTTGCCAGCTTACTGAAAAGTATGATATTCATCTTAAAGATAAATAGCGGCTACTTCTATGTTGAATTTTAATGTTGATTTTTATAGAAATTTTAGTGCTATTCAAAGTAACATCAACAGACCGACTGCCATACACGTTTAAAAACACAGGACCCAATTACAATATCCCTGCATACGCGTAACAATATGTAGGTTGATGCTTTACAAGTAAATCAGAAAAATAATCAGCAATATGTTTAAAATAATCAATTACTTAAACGCCGTTTCAATAAAATACTAAAAAAAAACACAAAAAAAAAACAACAAAACATTGTACTGTACAGTAACACAGCAAGACGTACATGGTTAACATAATGTTTGGATTAATAATCAAGAAGCGTTATTGATTTTTTTCAGTTTAAGTTTGTATCTAAAACTAACTTTTATGTCATTATTAGGACACCAGTTGACAGAATGACAGTATATCAATGGCAAATTAATTCAGCATATATTTAGCCTGGTATTTTAATCAATATCATTATAAATTTATTAAATTTGATATAAATGTATCAAAATCAAAACCTTCTTTCGAGTTTGTTATCAGTTGTATCAGCTGAATTTCTTCGGTTAAAAGTTTCTTCATTTGTTGACGTTTTCCTTTCGTGTAGTTCCGATTGCCGAAACTCATCATCATAATCTTGCTTTTTATTCTCATCATTTTCAGTGTTCTGTCTAATCGGTTCCCCTTTAGGTTTATCGTTTGAATAATTAGCATGGTCATAAGGCTGGTGGCCTTTTCGCTGTTCTTCCTGCCCCTGATGTTCATCAGAAACGTCTTTCGGTAATTTTTGCACCTCCTTTACCTCATTTATTTTATCCTAGATAACAAGTAGGCTGTCAATAACACAGCAAAACCTTTTGTGATTATGCAAACATTGAATTGCAGCGGAAAATGAAAGTCCGAATCCTGCCCGGGTCTTGCCATTTTTTGACATTCTTCTTACAGCTATAAGCTAACAACATCACGGATTAAACTGAAATATGTTTCTTTTAATTGTATCTTACATAAAATAAACACTTATGTAAACTAATTAGGATGTAAAAAAAGAGAGAAAATAGATTTTGGTAATGTAACCTAATTAAGTTTTCAAAGATAGTGTGCATGATTATAAGTATGTCTTATTGTGACAAAAAACAATAAAAGAGAAAATATCTATGTCAAAGAAAGTGCTTACTTTAAGGTATCCTACAACATGATTATTGAAATCCACCTCCGCCTTTGAATATTTATTTTTCACATCTCTTATTCTATTTCTTGAAACAGCTTCGATAATTATTTTGATCTGTCTAAGAGATTCTTTCCCATTTGAAGTAATATGTCCAATTTTTGACGCTAGTTCAAACTCATATTTCGCCTCTTTAAGCACTTTATTTGCGCAATCTTGATTACTCGTTTTAACGGCATCAAACAATTTTTGAATCGCATAGTCTTTCGACATTTTACAAATGCAAGCTTTTAAAAAAGGAAACAAATCGTTTTCGTCGAATTCATTTAACTTCCCGGTTACAGGAATGCAAATCTATTTATAGCTCATTATCTTGACATAACAGGACACATTCAGATAGGTATATACACATAAATTATACCGATCAATATCCTTATTGTTTGGTTTTATTAACCTGTCAATTACATACTGATTACACGGTCGATGCACACAGTATATTAATCTTCGGTAGATTTTCGGTAAGTTCCGTGAGATGTACGCTTTACGATGGAATTTAATTTAATTTGTATCTATAAACTAAGTGCACTCAGCGTTATAGCGCAAAACGGTTAATCACGAGTTTATAATCTAAGTGCCACACGTGTTTTAAGTTCGAGACCACGTTGGTCCATGTTTTTTATTTCTTATTAATACTTTCAACATTATTGAAGCTATATATGATTATTTTATATTGTTCGTTTTGTTTTATTATGTTTTACTTAATTTTGTTTTGTCTATACTCATTTAAATAACATGTTTAAGAATTCATGTTAAAAAATTAAAACGGATTTAAATCAATAAATGTATTTTCAATGCCGTAAAACACACTACAAATCTGTTCCTTAAAATATACTGCAAAAATAAAGAAAGAATACTAGTGGCAACAGTAAGGATCGAACCACAGACCTCTCAATTATCAGGCATTCTCTTTACCGACTGTGCTATTGTGAATTAACGAAAACCTTCACATTAAGCTGGTGTGACTTTCAACCCATGACTTATATACTCCACATTAATTCTCGTAAACTACACGGACCAAACCGAAGTGGGATCGAATATTTTAATGAGTCCTGTAATGTATTCATAATTGACAGGTCAATAAAATCAGACTATACCGATCAATATCCTTAGTCGTTTCAATTTCAGAACGACTTCTTTATAATATATATTGCCGCACGGTATCTATCTGTTTAGGATCCGTTAAAAGGAGCGGGGCTATAACCATATTTCACTGTTTTTGCAACGAAATATCTATGTAATCATCAATCTAATGTTCATATTTAATAAAATAACAAAAATAATAACCTTATTTGAAAAAAATAAATGAATAAATAAAGAAAAGAAAAGAAAAAGAGAAAAAAGAACAAAAAATAAAACAAAATAAGAAAAATCAACAAATACAAACACTTTCACTTTTGTTTGACAGCATACTTTTTAGTTACTAGTAAATTTCAAACCCAATTGAGCTTTTTTTTCCTCAGTTCTGACTGAAATGTATATTTATATGTATTGTAAAAATTGTATTGTAAAAATATTGTTAAAACCAAATGCAACATTATTTACAAAATGCAAAAATGATTTATACAATGCCAATCTAAACTTCAGTGATAATATTCAGTTACGGTAAGCCAATCCTGTATCGTTTCAACAGAAAAGTGATATTGGCATCAATATAAGTATCTTTACTATTATGAGAGTTATGACAATGATTAGTGTTCTTGCTGACAAAGGATGATAATTTTTATGGTGATAGTAGTGAGGATCATAACCTCTCATCATCGGACCTGAGATTGAACGACTAGTCTTTCTTGATGACATAAAACATGTTATACGAATAAATGATTTTAGAAACTGATAAAAGATGAAATTCTGAAATTCATATAAATCAATTGAAAGATCAATTAAATAAAATACTGAAATATCTTGAATGTAATTTACAGTTTATTTCTCTTTTATACAATTTTATTAACATAAAATTAGTTTAGTAAGATTTGCTAATCTAAATGACTCCTACAAGGTCTAAACATATAATGCTAATTAGCGAACTTCTGTTTCATATGGAAGTTGGTACAAGTGTTTTTTTTACAGTCATTGTTTTAATGAAAGGCACGTCATATCTGAGACTTCTCTTGTAATTTTGTTGCGAGGATCACTTTGTTTCAGCTCAAGCCGGTGCTAGGGGGCGTGAGGGATGTTGCACGTATTCACTATCCCTCATGTACAGACTCACTAAAACCGAGTCTGCAATTCTCTTGTAATTTTGTTGTGATTAATGCTTCCGAGGGATCACTTTGTTTCCAGATCTTTTTGACGGAAGTGACTTTTATAGTTTTAGAGAATAAATCATTTAAGAAACATTACAGCTTTTTCTTGGACATACAAGAATCGTCGCTTAACTTCTTGACTGCAAGGGTGTATATTAGTTTGCAATTACCGGACGCTTTGTCGCTTTGTTGACCACCTTGTTTCCTCTCAATAACTACAGTACTATTGAGCCGTAGGATCAAAACTTCAATAAACATTTAACCTCATTGAGTGTATAACAACGGTTTACGTTCAATAAGAGGAGAACTAAATGACCTATAGCCTTTAAACTGCATAAGATGATCACTGTTATGAAATGAGAGACGACACCGATGCGAGAAAGGACAATTCCCATTTACATAGAATGTGAAAACTATTTACAATCAATGATTTTAGAACCGTTTGACCTATAGCCTTCAAACTTTATGAAATAAATGGTCACCTTCAATTAGAAGACCATGTGTTTTGGGCGCCGATGGGAGAAGGAACAATGTTCAATTATCCTTAAATTTCACTCAATGATTTGAGAATCGTTTGCCCGTAGCCCTCAAACTTCATAAAATGATCGCCTTCTAATAGAAAAAAAGATGGGTTTTGGGCTCCGATGCGTGAAAGTAGAGGTTACAATGAACTTGAAAGTGAAAATCGTTTGGAAACGCTCAATAACTAGATAACCATTTAATCCATCGCCTTCAAGCTCCATAGCATGATCATCTTCATAGAGTTAAAAGTGTGCATCGATGCGTGAAGATCTAGAGCACAATGATCTTGCATGTAAAACCATTTCCTCTCAATAACTAGAGAATAATTTGACGCATAGTCTTAAAATTTAGAATACATAAGCTAGCTATGTCACCTTCATCTTTCGATTTTTTTGTAAATCTTTGGGAAGAGCTCTCAAGAATTCGTAGATTTGATAGATGAAATATGTCTTACGTAAGCTATTCATTTTCATGTTTAAAATGATCCATGTATGAAAAGTTACATATGTGTGTGCAGTCTGACGATATAGTGAATATGTTTTGAAAGGACAATTATCATGTTGGTACAATTAATCAATTATATTTGTATTTTCTGATCGAAGATCAGAGAATACAAAGCTGACATTCAATCTCTGTACAAACCTAACAACAAGTAGTTCTCAAAACAGCTTAAAACTAGCGATTTAAAAGAAAGAAATGTTTTAATTTTGTTACAAGTATCCAACAATTTTCAACGCATTCAAAGTTTAAAAGTAGCTTTGGCTTATAGAATTGTCAATAAATGCACAATCACAAATTACGCGGATGAATATGATTTTAATCAATGAAAATGCTATTTTTAGCGATGTCGAATACCGAATACTACACAAATAAATCTGACTGCCGAGTAGTGGAATATATAGATTTTACATGTCGGACTGTTTGGGCGAGAAGATTTTCGCTACATTATTTACTTCAATTTTAACTGAACAAAATACCTCGAAATTAACAAGGATTACAAACCCGAAATGCAATGGAAGTTCTAAATTTAGAATGACTAGATTTTATTCAGACATTGTTTATATAACTTCTCCGTGGTGCAGGGGTAACGCACTTGTCTAGTGTGTGAGAGGTCTGTAGTTCAAATCCCAGTCGAGGCAACTTTTTTGATATGGATCAAATATGTGGTTTTAGTATATGTGAGATTTTTTTCGGTATTGTATTAAAAGAAAACAGTATAAGAACTGAAAATATAAATTAAAGTCGCTTTTTATTGATGCTTTAAAAGGCTTTGTAAAGTATATAATCGAGGGAGAAAACACAAGAAGTCCCTAACCAGTGTTTATTGGCAGTTTAACACCGGCTTTTTTCTGCTTTGTCTATACTGTAGTGACAAAATCACGACGCGCCGGTTGGCATGCTTCGCTAGCGACAAAACTCCCCACAGTGATTACTTCCCTTGGCATAATTGTAATGATAAGGTGGCAACAGTCGAGGCAACTTTTTTAAATTCTTTTTTAAATGTCTTTGTTAAGGAAGTAGCCATGATATGCAAGGATAAAGTGTGGCTGTCATAAAAAAATGAACATAAATGATTTTTTGATGCAACTCTAGTTATGCAAAATTCCGTATGTATCAAACTCCTTGCAAGATGAATTATAGTACATAAAAATGAAATTATACCGGAAAATACATACATATTTAGATTGCAAAGATCAGAAAATACCTCAGAGCTTGCAGCCCTTTGATTAACAGTTAAGACGTGCATACGCTGGCAAGATTACAAGAAGAAGAAAAAATGCTTTCTAGTCTATTTACTGGTATTTCAATTATTGATAATCCGTTGACTATTTGTGTGAATTGAGAGCACTCATAATGTATCTGCACACGAAAGGTATGTCACTTCGTCGATTATCAGATACAAAGTTGGTCATTCTGACCATGAAGTCGATGACTTGGTCCTTTGAATACTGGTAAATGCATTTAAAAATGATAGGGTAATTTGTAATAGTTAAGAGATGTCAGTAGAACAACGCGCTCGGCTTTTCTTTAGTTCTTGAGAGTACAATAAAAACCTGGATATTGTAAAAATAAACAAAGAGGAAAATTTCATTTAAAACATGCATGGTATTGAGTCTTTGGTATTGATTTAAGGATTTTGAAGTTAATTTTTCATTCAAAATCCATGTTATTGGTCTTGGAAAGTGACCTTTATTATATTTCTCAAAATAAAGTTAAAGTTTTCTAGAGTTTTCTAAAGTCACAAAGGGCCATTTTAAGTAACATTCCATATCAGAGTTATTGTCCTTGTATAGCGACCTCCAGTTATAACCAAAAATACATGTAGTAAGATTCAATAGTTTTGAACATCGATTGATGTTGCATGCAAAATTATTCAAAAGTTTACAAAACTTCATACTTTTGTCTAAATCCATGTGAAAGCTATGGACCGGGCCATTCAGTTATAATCTAAAATACATGAAAGTGCTAAGTTTTAAGCGAATACCTTTAAATTTTCAAGATCGATGTTGCATGCTTAGTAGTTTTTAAAGATTAATGCTATATGAAAAACTTTAACAA